GAGTCAGTCAGTCAGACCAGCGGAACACAAAAGCCCAGCTAAATCTAGATTGGCTTACCCTTATAAGACAGCAAGAAATCTGGAGAATAGTTCAGCTTTAGCACTCACTACATGCAATTACACACAACCATACGATGGGATGATGGAATAAGATGACGGTTATAAAATCTTGTGTAAGATGGTGGAGGAGGTGGTTGGTAACGGGAGCTTTGTCTATCTAATCAACCGCAAATACGTGTAATAGGAATGATTCAATAACTGCCCACCCAGATATCTGGAAAATTCTACTACCCCTACGACAAATAGGACAGAATAAAGAAAAGTATAAAACTCAAGTTTCGAAATCATGTGATTATAATTGATGATATTATTATGGACACGAATAAATTGTATTTGAAACATCATCCAGCACATAATAATACTGTTTTACTCAGTGTGTGATATATCTAATAAATAAATTATTATAGAACTAGATAGACCTACATTACTAGGTCACTAGTATTCTAGCCGGTCCCAAGCCCGGATAAAGAGGGAGGGTTGGGGCGTGGTGCTAGCAACTCCACCCCCAAAACTTAACCAAATTGCTACTAAAACTTCAACGCACAAATATATTCAAAATTCTAAAATTACAAACAGTGACCTTATTTCTCTCTGGAATCGGGGAAGTGAAATGACGCGGGCTGGTGAAAGCCTTCGGGAAGCCAGTCAGCCGATGTGCCTTCTTTCGATGAAAGCAAAAATAAGGATGGGGACGTGGAATGTTCGTACAATGTACGAAGCTGGGAAGGCTGCTCAGGTAGCCGCAGAAATGAGGAGATATAAAATAGACGTGTTGGGAATCTGCGAGAGCAGATGGAACGGATGTGGAAGGAGCCAACTATCAACTGGAGAGACAATAATCTACTCCGGTCACCCAGAGGACAATCACGGGCACACCGAGGGAGTAGCCATCATGATGTCACCAACAGCGGCTAAAGCTCTCATGCAGTGGGAACCAATCTCCTCCAGGATAATGACAGCCAGGTTCAACTCAAAAGGAAAAAAGGTTACAATCATTCAGTGCTACGCGCCTACAAACGCCTCAGAACATGAGAAGAAGGAGGATTTCTACAGTCAACTACAAACAGTAATGGACAACGTCCCAAAGAGCGATATCAAAATCCTGATGGGTTATATGAATGCGAAACTGGGAGGAGACAATACAGGAAGAGAACTCACCATGGGTCGTGAGGCCCTCGGTGAAATGAACGAAAATGGCGAACTCTTCTCAGACTTCTGCGCCTTCAATGATTTGGTGATTGGTGGCAGTGTGTTCAAACACAGGGATATACACAAGGCGACATGGATTTCACCAGATGGACACACCAAAAACCAGATAGACTTCATTTCAATCTCAAGGAAGTGGAGACGGAGCCTACTGGACACAAGATCGAGGAGAGGAGCAGATGTGGGTTCAGACCACTATCTAGTACAAGGGACTTTCAAGGTGAAGCTGAAAGCCTCGAGGATAGCTGGGGATAGGCCACAATGCAAGTTCAACACGCAAAAACTGAAGGACACAATCACACAGGACATTTTCACTGCAACTGTCAGGGCGAAGCAGGAAACACTACGTGGTACCACTGAGGAATCATCCATCGAAGACCATTGGAACTCTCTGAAGGTAATTTTCAACGAAACGTGCTCAACGGTTTTAGGAAGAAAGAAGAAACAAGACAAGGAATGGCTCTCAACGGACACTTGGAAACCAATAGAGGAGAGGAGAAAGGTGAAAGAAAAAAAAATGATTCAATGCAAAGATGGACAAGAGAAAGAGACGCTGAACTCAACTTACACAGCACTGGACAAAGAAGTGAAGAAGAGTGCCAGGAAGGACAAAAGACAATTCCACGACAACCTGGCTACTGAAGCTGAGAAGGCAGCAGGCAAAAGGGACCTGAGGACACTATATCAGATAACCAAGTCTCTATCCGGGAAGAGATCAACACAAGTGAAACCTATAAAAGACAGCCAAGGAAACCCAATTACCAAAGAAGAAAGACAGATTAAACATTGGGCGAACCACTTCAAAGCACTCTTGAATCGACCACCACCTACAACCCGTCCAGTAATACCAACAACAGCACGTACACAACTGCAAGTTGACACCAATCCTCCAACGAAAACTGAAGTCATGAATGCAATCAAGCTTCTGAAAGCTGGAAAAGCAGCTGGACCAGATGGAATACCCCCGGAAGCACTGAAAGCGGACCCAGAAACGACGGCAGATATGCTGACTCCATTATTGCAAAAGATCTGGAAAGAGGGAAAGGTGCCTAACGACTGGAGGAAAGGTTACCTGGTGAAACTACCAAAGAAGGGCGACCTGGGACTCTGCAAGAACTGGCGAGGAATCATGCTCCTGTCGACGCCAAGTAAAATCCTGAGTCGCATCATCCTGGAGAGAATCAAGGACGCGCTGGATACAGAACTCCGACCAGAACAAGCTGGATTCAGGAAAGGCAAATCATGTTCTCACCAAATTGCAACTCTACGCATTATCATCGAACAAAGCATGGAATGGCAATCAAATCTCTACCTCAACTTTATAGACTTTGAGAAGGCCTTCGACAGCGTTGACCGCGAAGTAATTTGGAAACTCCTCGAGTACTACGGAGTACCCCAAATATTCATCAACCTTATTCAACAACTGTACGACAACGGCACATGTCAAGTGATCCACAACGGAAAACTCAGCGAAGCGTTTGGAGTAAACACAGGAGTCAGACAAGGGTGCTTATTATCACCAATGATATTCCTAATTGTGGTGGACTGGATTATGCGTCAGACAGTGGGAAACGAGAAGACAGGGATATCCTGGACCGACGTGAAGAACCTAGAAGACCTGGATTTTGCGGATGATCTATGTCTGATGTCACACAAAATCGAAGACTTACAAGCAAAAACCGACAAACTGGTTGAAGAAGCAGCAAAGACAGGACTCCAGGTGAACATAGACAAGACGGAGGTCATGAAAATAACCAACCAACAACAACAGCAGCAGCAACATCCACCGTCAATCACCATCAACGGGAGGGATTTGAAAGAGGTTACTTCTTTCACTTATCTTGGGAGCATTGTCTCAACCACAGGAGGAACGGACGAGGATGTCAAATCGAGAATCGGGAAGGCGAGAAACACATTCATCAACCTGAAACCAATCTGGAAATCTTCGTCACTCACCATCAACAACAAAATTCGGATTTTCAATACAAACGTGAAGTCAGTTTTGCTTTACGGATCAGAAACTTGGCGGGTCACCAAGAATATTTTCAACAGGTTGCAGACCTTTATCAACAACTGTCTTCGCTCCATACTGAAGATAAGATGGCCAGAAAGAATCACAAACAAGAAGCTATGGGAACAAACGAAACAAGAACCAATCGCCCAACAAATATGCAGGAGGAAGTGGAGATGGATTGGACACTCGCTGAGGAGGCCGTTGAGTGACATCGCGCGTCAAGCCCTCGAGTGGAACCCGAAAGGGAAGCGGCGAGTGAGACGTCCAAGGGTGACATGGAGGAGATCGTGTGAGGAGGAGATGAAACAGTATGGAATAACATGGACGCAAGTGAAAAGTACAGCACAAGACAGAAGCAAGTGGAGACGTGCAGTTGAAGCCCTATGTTCCACTAGGAACCCAAGGGAACAATAATAATAATAGATAGGTCAAAGTGGGTGGCCCCTTTTGGACTCACAATCCAAGAGCAGAAAGTAGCTATGAAAAGACAAAATATGTATTCTTTCATATGGATATATGTAGACAATTATGGACACCAACTTTTATTGGGAAATGTGTAGAAATTTCCAACAATGAAAAGACCAAAAATGACAGGGAACTCTGGCAGTATGATTGGCAAATGAATCAGCCGTTAACAAACACACATTACTAAAGATTAAATTTACTAATTAATGGAAAATAAATTACATGAAAAGGATTTGATCAAATCCTTTAGACGTGAAAATAAACAGCCAGTAGTGTCATTGGTTGGGCACTAGTAAGTAACTACTGTAATGTTATGCGTTTAGTCCTACCTTTGCTGCAGACTGAATTCTATCGTCTGTCAAGTTTGCAATGTGGCCACCATGCCACTAGGTGGCTCGGCATCACGGTGCTCTGTGAATTGCTGGAGACAATCGTGCTCCGTGCTAGGAGGTAATCGGCCACAGGAAACCCAGTCTAGACCCAGTCAGTCAGCAAGGTGTATCTGCAACCTTGAAGGAACTCGTGTCGTTCTCGAGATTCGAGCCCGCAACACTCAGTCCTGAAGTCAGAGACACGTTACCACTGAGCTATTCAGGCTCACGATTGACCTTCTCCGGGACTGTATTGGATATTTTTGATTACAAACTAGTCTGGAGGTCAATCGCGAGTTTGAACAGCTCAATGGTAACGTGTCTCTGACTTCAGCACTGAGTGACGTGGGCTCGAATCTCGAGAAGGACACGAGTTCCTTCAAGGTTGCAGATACGCCTTACTAACACGAAACCTAGGTCTAGACTGGGTTTCCTGTGGCCGATTACCTCCAACCACCTAATACATACACAGTTCTACTAATTATTCATGGAGAATTCAAACAAGTTCATTTCATACTAAGACCTACGCTGAAGATGCTGTCTAGGATGACCACAAAAGCTTCGCAGTTAAGTTGACCTGCTCAAAGAACACAACTAAATCAAAATCACCTACTTTATCTATCTAAAAACCTTCCCCATTGTTTCGATTACTTACTATTATCGCATTTTGTTTTTACATCATATGACCTGTTGGTGTCATATGACCATTTTTCAAACCAAACAAGTAGGCAGCCGGATTCAACAAATACTTTTGAGAGCTTCCAACATGAAGGATAACTTATATCTCTATTATTATACATGCACAACCTCATTCATTATATTTCTCAACAAAGAAATTCAGCGCCTTTTACTCTAGAACAAACAGGAATAAAATAACACAACTAATGACAAGCAATACACTATTCCCTATTCTAATTATTGATCCAGTTTATGAAGATATAAATAGCTTTGCTAAAGACTATGACTATGATTTACGCGGTGTCCCACTATCACAATGGAAGTTAATTCTCAATAATCCACTTGCTTATCTCAAGTACTACTTGGAAAGCTATTCACCGCTCTTATATCTGTTGCCTATCCTACTATTTATCGGCTATTATACTTCACTAAACCTGTTTCAACTGATCAGTCTTCTGTATTATAGAATAAAGGTAATAAGACAATGGAGAATAGCGAAACGTGAACAACACTCAAAATGGAAACAAAGATTACGCCTGAAAATGCCTAGAACACATGATGGTTTTGGCCTGGCCAATTATCAAGCATTCACTGATTGGTATAAATTAACTGGTGGCAAGTCAACCAATCTGTCTACACTACCGCTTAACTTTCCTGAATATGAATGTCTGCGTTTTACACTAGATAGTCAGTGGCCATATCTGTCTGCTTTAGAAACTCTACAAAAAGATGTCCACTGTTACTACGATCCACAAGTGGTTGAAGGTAAAGCTGAAGATGAAGACCCGTATGCACCCCAGCAAAGAAAAGAACGATTGAAACGTTTAATTGCTCAGCGTAAAGAACGTATTAAAGCAGGGATTGAAGATCCTACTTCTGAAGAAGAAGATTTAATTGTCCCTAAACTACCGTGTTTACCATATCGATTGAAAAGATCACCATCACCGACAGAGGAAGAAGAAGGATTCGAACAATATGAAAGTTCATCAGAATCCTCTGAAGAAGGAGGAGTTCAACGTATAGATTTACAAGCACTTGAAGATCAAGGTTGGATAGAAGAGTACAAGTGGAGAGTACGCACCGCTTTGGCACAATCAAGAAAATATGAAAGAAGAAGACATTATCCATCTGTAGCATGGGCATTTTCTGCAAAATATGGTGAAGATAGAGAAGAACAAGGCAGTGATGATGATTACGATAATAAACGTAGAAAGATTAAAAACAGGGATTTGACAAAAAGAAAAAGAAAACTTCCAGGAGGTATTGACGATAAAAAAGAAAGTCCAACAGTAAAACAAAGAAATTTATTTTCATCTCAGTCGAATAAAACTATGGATGATTCAGATAGCGCATTTCTTGATCATGATCAGAATTTGTATCAATTGCAAAGACTGGTTAAACGCCGTAACCTGAAGAAAATGTCAATTCGATTATGTACACCGTTATACAACAACAACACAGACATTGAGAAGGAATCAATAATTAAAGATTCAAATTTATCGCATTTTCAGTCAGCATCAAACAGACGAAGTGGCTCTCTATTATCCAGATATTCTTATGCAAATCAACATGGGAAAAGTAGTGTGTTAGAAGAATTAAGAAGGTTAAGAGAAAGCATTAGTGAGACAGACACTGATGAAGGCTAAAACAAGCAGGGAAAACATTTTGTCGAAAATCTTAGCAGAAAAGGATTATTTTAAACTGAAGTTAAAAACAAATATACATTTACAGTGATTTACAACTATGCCTGGTTATGACCGTTGACTGATTCACTGTCACAAACTACACTACTCAAGTATTTAGTAAATATATATAATGCTAAAGAAGATATTCTGAATTGTATTACTGCAAAATATACTTAGTGTTACTTATCAATGTATTATGCTACGCTTCTGTGTTCAAAAATAATTAAAATGAATAGATTGACCGGTGACGAAATCTGAGAACGGACACAGAAGGCTAGTTTCGCATATGCCAGTTTACGCTGTCTCTGACTCAGTAGACGTGATATCCGGCTGACTATCAACCAAAGGACGCATGTACTGCTCATCAGTCCATTCCGTCCTCGATATAAGAATAAAACTTGTGCACTGTGGTAGAGTGTAATTCCATTATGGGTAAATTTTGTTTTGATAAAGTCTCACAGTGTTATACAGTAATGTTTACTGATGACGTTTCGAGCACAACTTATTGCTCATAATCATATCAAGGTAATCACACGACTTCCTAAATTCATTTATTTAGTTCCGTTGTTTTTAACTTGATTTCCACTTGATTTGATTGGTAGTAATATTTTCCACCCTAATTCCTGCTTCATTTAGAATCCTACGTAGGATCTCAGATGTCCCCTCTGAAAAGCTCAGCAATTGCAATGTATTAGCACACAACCACACAATAGGGTGGGAGAGGGTTAAAATTCTAAAAAGTAATCTAGGTAGGTGGAGAGAGAGAGTTGTTGATTACTAAATCCTTGTTCATCGAGTCTACACCCGACACATGCAATAGAAATGATTCATCACTCATACCCGAAATACGGAAGATACTACTACCAATCAAATCAAGCGGAAAACAACGGAACTATATAAATGGATTTAGGAAGTCGTGTGATTACCTTGATATGATTATGAGCAATAAATTGTGCTCGAAACGTCATCAGTAAACATTACTGTATAACACTGTGAGACTTCATCAAAATAAAATTTATCCATAATGGAATTACACTCCGTCCTCCTTTATGGGTGTGAAACCTGGCCTTTCAGAGTGGAAGATATGAAAAACCTGGCTAGCTATCTTTCATCATAGGTGCCCGCATTCTATCTCCTGCCAAATTAACCAGAAATCATTGAGTGTTTTTTCTAAGGACTGATCCCAGCATTTGACGAAATATGTTATAGTGGTGTGTGGCGACTTGAACTGCCGCACATATGTGCAAAGTTCTATGTCGAAAACCGACCGACCGACCGTTATAGTGGTAGGTTGTATCATTGTAAATCGCACTTATAATGTTGAGTACATTTCTCTCTTGTTATGTAAACTGGATCGATAATGCTACTATCTAGTAACTCGTGTTATTTTGTTTGTTAATAAAAGCTGAATTAGCGACATACATATGACAATAACAATAAGTGGATACCTGAGAGCGGGTAATTTATAATTATCACATGACTCGTAACATATGATATATATATATAAACATGTAACGACAGACGACAAAGGACAGGCAACAGATCGTTTATTGAGAAAACTAAAAGATATTTACAGATATTTATGTACATTATTATTCGTTATTGTTAGCGGAGAAGTAGCGTCTTTTAAGTGGTTTGCTTGCTCAAGGTTATTCTGTCATCTCTTTGTTGCCATTTCTTAGACAGTCCATTGATATACCTGCTAATCATATCCGCCCACGCTAAATCTACTGTAATTGGCTGTTAAGTTCCATATATATATATATATATATATATATATATATAAACAATTTTTGGAGTGGACTGTATTTGAATTTCAGTAATGCTTGTCAAATAAGCTACAAGAAAGGTCTGTGAAGATACTCTTCCACCACACTGTTAAGACTGGAACTAAGACCTAGTAGACTATGAGCGAATACTAACTTAATAATGCGCTGGTTAATTTATTCTTATCACACTTCAACAACAACAACAATGATACCATCCGTACGCAAAGACAGAAGAAAAAACTGGACGTTGGTAAGAAAGCTTTTAACATCTCAAAACAACAGTCAAAAAACGTTGACAGCGCTTGCGCATATACATGTTTAAAATGGCCCTGAGAAGCACTAATATCACCGACAAATTAAGACAGTGAACAACCAATAGGATTTCAAAGGTCATAAGTGGGATGAGAGAAAGTCAGGTCACAAATCAATAAATGTGATGAGAGAAATACAAACAGACGTGTAAAAATGACACGTAGAAAATTAGGTCTACGTATTTCACACACTGAGAAACTTTTTTCAGAAAGAAAGGCGTTAACGATGGGCTTGCCATCATTGAAAAATGCTTACGAGACAACAGATCTCCTCAAAACTCTACTTCATAAACACAAGAGGATACCAAAAAACAGAATGCAACATTGATTCAACAGAAAAGAAAGCAGTCTTACTGAATCTTCTATGTTGCAAAGGTGCTTATTAGTGCGATTGCTTACCACCTGTTAGACAGTATTCATGAAGTCGATATATTAAAATCCGTAAAGATAATCAAGGTCCAGGACTTTTCCAGGTTGCTACGTATCAATGAATTGGCTACAATTAGATGATTAAAACCAAATTTACCCGTCGGGAAAGGAACAGCTTGTTAATCTCACTTTACCTTGGTGAATATAGTTTATGTTATTTAGTTGCCTCTGTTCATTTTTTTATCTAAATTATAATTTGTTTTGACGATGTACTCGCCACTCTGATTTTATCTCTATCTATATTCTTGATCGCCTGCTCCTTTTTCTCCGACTTCTGTTCAACTAAATTACTTTACTCATGCATGAGTGATTCTTGATTTTATGCTCCCATTCAATGTGTAACATTTCTTCGTAATTTTAAAATATTTCTTGATTATTTCTGCACAAACTACTAGCGAGATTACATCATTATCATTATTATTCCCTTGTGTTCCAAAAGGAACATACCGCTTCAACAAAACATCTCCAATGGAGAGTTATTAACAACATCAATTTTTTATATTAGATGATTAAAAGCAATCATCAGAAACCCCAGCCTGACCTAGGTTTCTTGATAGGTTGGCCCTCACCAGTCAGTCAGTAAGACGTATCTGCAACCTTGAAGGAACTCATGTCCCACCTGAGATTCGTACCCGTGTCACCTAGTGTACTGCAGTCAGAATGCAAGAATTTATGGGCTCCACAGAAGGCCAGACCAGAATAATGGCTGGACCTGTTTCTTCTGCACATAGACCACCGGTTATTTTAGGCGAATTACAATTGCCTTTGTTGTTTTTAGTAGTTGGGACCTGTATGCTTTTGGCAATTTATTTGGTACCCAGTAGATGATAGAGTAAGATTCTTCGATGCTAGCTTTGCGACCGGTTTGGACCAGGTGGTCGAATAACGAACTGCTGATATTTTTCAGTACACCTTTATTTGGCCACACTATGGGTGTTCCCGAGCGAACACGAAAAATCAAGTTCCTATAGCAAGCACCAATATAACTCACCCAACCACAAGCGCAGTTGAATTGTCTGGCACAATACGAGGTAGCTAGTCTAGGTACTTCATTTTTCAGTCGAGGAGTTACCAGATGACTTGTAGTTTACCAGCATTAAAATTTCTTTGAATAGACTTTGTTAACTTATCGGGAATTATTTCCCTAGGTATGTCACCCTATGAATTTATGAATTCCGTATCATAATTTTTCCTAATTCGTCTGATTTTCAGTGTGCAGTGTTATGTTGATGCATACTATCACACTCACAGAAGCTATTGAACTGTAATCTACCGATATTATTCAATCGATGTTATTTAAACATTAATACTGTTAATAACCCTAATTCTTTCACCACTACGGATATATAACTGTAGAACCTGACGATAAGGAAGTTATCGTTAAGAATATTCTTTGCTCAGTAATCAATCTTTTAAAATGTCTAATGGGCATTGTTTTTATCGACTATGTATTATTAGACCATTGATACTAGAAGGTTAGAGGCAATCGGCCACAGGATGTCCTGTCTGGAACTAGGTCTCGTGCTATTCAGCGCTCACCAGTCAGTCAGTTAGCAAGGCGTATCTACAACCTTGAAGGGACTCAAGTCCCACTTGAAATTCAAACCCGCATCACCCAGTGCTGCAAACAGAAACGTTACCATTGAGCAATTCAGACTCACGACTGCCCTCTTGTAGGAGTGTATTGGACATTTCGGTTGGGCTATAGTCAGTAGGTACACAGCAAACTTGACCGGCGATAGAATTCGGTCTGCACCAACAACGAGGACTAAACACACACACACACCACACCAGTGTTACTAACTCGTATTCAATCAAAATATTATTAGTAATTAATTGAATTTTAGATTTTCCCGCCGACTGACTGGACCGAAGTGCTCGTTCTCAGGTTGACATGTCGGCTTCTTGAGCAGATGCTTCGACGATGTCTGGGCATTTAATTAGTTTTTAATTGGTGGATGGTGACTAGCAGTTTGAAACTATGGGCACTGGGTTCGAGCCTCGGTGGGAACATCATCACTCACTGAGAAATGCAGGTACATCCAGATGATGAGTCCCAAATAGGACGAAATGCGCATCCCGGTGGATTCCACTGCTAGTCACCATCCACCAATTAAAATATTATTAGGTATTGTTAATCTGTCCGCAGAACACACTATACTAACACTAGGCATTAAACAATATGACAAACACACAAACAGGAACAAACCAACATACTCAAATAAAAATAATTACACAAATCGGTCCCTGTTATATGTGCAAATTTATCACAAAGAATAGAGAAAAAACTGTTAAAAAAATTCAAGTATACAAAAAACAACTAGGATATACACACTTGAGCAGTAGTCATCATCAGGGTCAATTATAAAAAAACAAAAACGGACAAGATAACTACAAGAGATGAAAAAATTTAACATTTTACATTGGAATCTATTGGGTTTTTTTTGAGGAATAAAACAGTCGTCTCTGTATGTAAAGACTGAAGGCAAAATATCAACAACAACAAAAAAGGGGGGAGGGATTAGAAAAAAAACAGAAGAGACAGATCATGTAATATCATTATTGTTGTTGTCGTTATTATTCTGCTTACTGCTATCCACTGAGGCATAAAAGTCATTCATGCCAAATATCAAAGATAGCTGAGCTAATTTTGAACGAGTAATTTTAACACCACCACTCCCGACGCCACCGGAGCCACCGCTGCCACCACCTGAATAATTGACCAGTAGACGATTTATCCGACGTCTAAGAAATTGACTATAACTTCGAAAACTAGCATGTATCGAGTACAATTGTCGCCATTCAGTATGTTCAATCTGTTCATGATAACTTTGTGGTTGTGGCTGTTCATTACAGTTACTACTACTATTACTAGTAGTGGTAGTAGTGAACACCTGTTGGCATGATTGTTTTGTTATCCATCTTCCAGTTAATAAAGCTCGATGAAATTGATGTGCACAGGTTAACATACCGTGTAGAATTTGATTGAAATCATTATCGGATGCATCTAATAAACAACTGTGCAAAAAAAAATAATAATAATCAAAGGATAAAGCGTATAAAGAGATAAGAATACATTTGGTGAATAGTTCATTTCACTAGTAGACTACCAATCTTAACTAACTAACTAACTAAGTTAAGATACATCAGGCGATAAGCACATATATAAAAAGGTAGATGTCGTCAATTAAAATCAAATCTTTCATAAACCAGACTCAGAGCCACACTTATCACATGAGAGATGATGATACTGACCAGTTGACCGGGGCTGAAGTAGGTGGAGCGGTACTCCATCCACCACCCCGTGATCCGTTGTTAGCTGAAAACCACGATGATACACCAATAAACCACATCTCAACAAGAGATTGATGTCAACTACTTGGCGGCATTCACCAAGGTGAATTGAATTTTTCCACTCGCCTACAAACCAGTGTACTGCAGATTCATGTCCTCCCCCTTATAGGTCAAGATTTTGACAGCAACTTCTGAAATACTAGTTTAGTGGCAATCGACCAGTGGGCGTGTGCACTGCTTAGAAGTCCGCTCTGTCCTCATTTATGGTGGCGAGACCTGGCTATTGAGAGTGGAAGATATGAAAAGCCCGCCTAGCTGTCTTTCATCATAGGTGCCTGCGTTCTGTCTCCCTTGTGAAGTGGTATAATAAGGTGAGCAGTATTGAGGCTAGGCGTTGGTCGAGTGCTAGGTAAGGAGGGGAAATCAATAGATGAGGCTGCGAAGCTACATCGACTGAGATGGTTAGGACATATGTTACGTATGCCTAGTCATTTCCTTACTCGACAACGAGCAATGTTAGCTGACATAGGGTCAGGCTGGAAAAGAGATAGCGGCGGTCAAAGCAAAACACGGCACCGGTCAATTGTATCCACAACAGTTAGTTTAAGCCAGCCACGTAGGAAGGTGTAGACTGCCTGGTTGTGGTTCTCAGGATGGTAAGAACCAATGATAGTTGGAGACAATTGGTGATATGGCTGAAAATCGTTCTCAATGACTGGCGCAGATGCATCCACTCCTTGTGACTTATTATATCAAATAAAACTGATTTGGTGTTCGATATTACTATTCTTTTTACCTCATATCTCTGTTTACTGTCTCTGTTTTGCAATTCTTTTTACTTTCTTCTCTTGCTTTGTGTGCTACATGGAGTGTGGCAACCTCAGCTGCTGCACATCGGTGCAAAGTTCTATATTGAAAACAGACAGACAGACTAGTTTAGCTAGTTTCTAAACGCATCAACTAAGACTCATTTGATCTATGAATACAAAAATGACTTTTATTCCATGCTCTGAATAGCAATCATTAGATGCGGTTCATCAATGCTCATAGTAAACTCAAGACAAGTTGTGTAGATCTTAATCAGGCAAATAGCGTTTCCAACTATGCTGGATTCGTCTTCTGTAAAGATTAGACAGCATGAAATGAATTCCAGGATCTGTACAGTTTGCTTCGGAGAAAACAGCTTTGAACTGCGAAACCTCGGAAAAACACAAATGACTGTGCTATGCATCACAACATAGATATTGAAAGCAGCTTTCAAGATTATCTATGACGGCCGTCAGGGGGACATATTGAAACACGTTGAAGCGATAGCTATCCCGCACTTATGTGTACAAAAACAGTTTACGATTACCCTAAACCACCTACCTTGGTAATCCTTATCCAATTACATTACCAAAATCAGTGTTAAAGATTGATTATTCTTAATTTTAAGTTCATATTATGCGATTTGTAAGGGTTTGGATTTATTTCAATTACTGAATTTCGCCATGAACTCAAATCAGTTAGAGAATGAATGAAAGCCAATGACAATTGGATAGTTGTTTCACCTTAAATCGGAACTCTTCCTCAGTTCTCACTCACAACCTCACTGTCAGGGATCGAACCTGGGATATTCAGGTGAAGAGACCAAACTCGTTAACCATGCATGCTAAATGGATCGGAAATTCAGTGAACTGTGAATTCTAACTTCTATCACTTCATGATATTAATGATAACATCCAACACCAATGCCATCTATGAGCGAGCACATGGTGAGACCTACTAGCGGCCACTTCTCAAAATACAACTTCAGGACAACTATCCAGTAGCCGCCAATTAGCTAAGAATCGATATTTACATTATGGGTTTTTGTAATAATTTGGATTAATCTCAGCGTAGATTTACTTCTCGTTTCACGAACCTATATCAGTTAGCGACCATTTAAAACTCTAACTAATGTTAGTTAGCGACGAATTAATCCACGTAGAAATCAGGTGTCAACGAAGCTTTTAAAAACAGTTTACATTTAGTCCCGAAATACATAAAATTAAGTGAAAGACAACAACAAGTAGCGTCGGTGCTTCAATGGTAGAATGCCTACCAACCAGGCATCCAGTGACCCGAGATTCAGTTTCCGGCCGACGGCGCTCCTAAACCTCATTTAGTCGACAGTAATCCCAGTTAGGCATGAGGCTAGCACTCAGTACCCATTCCATAAAACTAACACAACATCAGTGCTACAGAAGATTCAAAACCCAAGCTTCAAGCCTAATTATTATTACTATTATTCCCTTGGGTTCCGTGTGGAACATACCGCTTCAACAACATAGCTCCATTTCCTTCTATTCTCTACTGTCCTTTTCATCTGGGTCCACGATTGCCCACATTCTCTCGTCTCCTCCACGCCAACTGATACCATCCATGTCACTCTTGCAACGACGACCCACTTGTCGCTTCCCATTTGGATTCCACTCGAGCAATGACCTGATGCTCAACATATGACCGATCCATCTAGATTTTCTCCTACATATTTGTTGAGCAATCGGCTCTTGATTGGTTTGTTGCCAGAGTTTATTGTTGATAATTCTCTCTGATATTCAGTATGGAGCCAGGAAGAACTGATTAACTTCACACTGGTGTTGGAAATCCGAATCTTGATGTTTATGCTCACAGCAGTAGATTTCCAAACTGGTTTCAAGGTTGATGAAGGCGTATCATGCCTTTCCGACTATGACTGGCTTTGATATCCTCATCCGTTCTGTCGCCTGTGGTTGAAACGATGCTCCCTAGATAAGTGAGGAAAATGACCTCCGTTAAATCTCTCCCTGTGATGGTGATTGCTGCTGGTTGTTGTTCCTGTTGGCTGGTCGGTTATCTTCATCACCTCCATCTTCTCTATGTTCACCTGGATTTCTGTCTTCACTCCTTGCCTCTTCTGTCAGTTTGTTGCTTTTTACGTGCCTGTAATCATCCACACGCAAAATCGAGATCTTCAAGAGTCTTCTTATCGATGGTCCAGTGAATTTCTGTCTTTGCATAAACCAATCCACCACAGTTAAGAATGCAAATGAAATTTTAAAAAGCACACATAATAAAAGCAACAAAAAATGACGCATACCCTGAAATGATCTCATCTAAATATCTCTCGTGTGCAGTATACAATGCCGTTAAACTGTCAATACGCTGTTCACTTTTACTGCCTTCTTCATAATCTCTGACGTCAGGAGCACTTTCATCAATTCGCTTACATGCCTTTGAGGATAGTAAGAAGTTATCATCAGACATAAAATTATAATAGGTATTGAATAATCCTAAATACTTGATAAATTTACTCCAACAGACAGTAACATGATTGCATAAATGCATATTAAGACTATGAATAGTTTGATGCAGCTCATATAGCCAGATATAAATGTAATGAAAGGTTTTTGACAAATGATCAGATGTATCAAGAAATAAGGTGGATGACGGAGGCGGCTTGACATTGACGTTGGCGGGTGTCTTTGACGACGCCGACGACGCCGACACTATTCTTGATGCCAATAAATGATGTAATAAATAGCCACGATCATTTTTCAGCTGTTGAAAACATGAATTAACTGCCCACAGAGCAAATTTACACTGGATTAAACGTTGAAATATACGATTATACTTTTGGATTATATTAGAATTGAAGCATTGACTTAACGGCCAAGGAGCGTTATACATCAGGTGTAAATGATTAAACGAGATGTAATCATAAGGATCACTAGAATCTTCGGGATAATCATTCATGGAAGAGATTGTACTTGTAGTGGCGGCAGCAGTACCACTAGTAATCGATGCCTTTCTTGACTGCAATGATGACACTAGACTTAAGTAATGCTTTAATAAATGTGTTGAATTCAATAAAGGCTTAGTATTTAGTGCAGCATGATGCGTATGATATGAATTGGCGGTAATGAAGTCTAGACTAGTGTTCTTGCCTAACGCTGTATGACTTGATGACATTTCTGTCAGTACTGATTTCATTAATTGTTGAAGATAATCTGTGTCGAATAAACTGGCACGATGATGAATTGGGCCAGCAGCCTATAAATACAAAAAACAAAGTGATTGAAGAGGAAAACAAGGAGTGAGATGAAACATTAAACAAATTATTATTTTTATTACTTCAAGTTTAGTTAGAGAACCAGTGAAAATCACCACAGAGAAGTGAGAAGCTGTTTCGCTCTAGTTTGGGACTCATCAACAGTACACACCCACCGAGTTTCGGATTCAGGACCTTTTGGTGACAAGGTAAGTTCATAGAACATTCAGCCACTGGGACCCTACTCACTGGCAAGCCCATGAATACTACCTTATATGAATTCGTGATTTTAGCGCCAGCTCACTCGTAACCCATCATATAATGACGTAACCTGGAAGTCTGATGAGAAGTCACGAAACAGGGTCCTTACTGATTGACTGGTTTCAACATAGAACTTTGCACAGAAGTGCAGCAGTTCGAGTCGCCACACTCCCTCCATGTAGCACACAAAGCAAGAGAAGAGGGAAAAGCAAGACTCAAAAGAGAGAGAGGGATAATAAACAGAAGTTTGAGTGAGGGAAAAAGAATAGTAATATGGAAGAACAACAGAATTTTATTGGATATCATAAATTATAAAGAGTGAATGCATCTACCCTAGCCATTGAGAACGATTTTCAGCCATAATATCAATTGTCGCCACTGGGGCCCACTCGGTCGGCAGTGAGGACAAATACTCGCCGATGATGTTGGTTAGCGCCGGTGGCACTAAATTCACAAACTGGTAAAGGTTAGTATTCATGCGCCATGGAGTCGAGCACCAGCGTCTGAATGGTTTACAAACTTATCTTGTAGCCGGAAGGTTCTGCGTCCGAAACCCAGTGGGTGCGTACTGTTGATGAGTCCCAAACTAGAACGAATTGGCTTTCCAGTCCTCTCTGGTGGTTTTCAGTGGTTCTCTAACTGATATCAATCCGTGGTCAAACTTGAAACAAATCAAATTCCTACAAACAAACTCTCAGAAACTGTTATTTATTTAAAATACAAACTTAATACATTATGGGAACCAAGAGATACGCTACAGAATATCTTACAGTTTTGTACAAGGGCTGGGATACTATCTGGACGTCCAGACCAAGCAGGTTGTTATTATACGGGACCACCACCCCCCACAAGACAGTGGAGAATGATCAGGCACTGTGTCACATGGTTTCCAGTGACAAAAACGGATTATTACGCCATTCAACCCCCCTTCGCATACTGGAGTCCATGTACACGTCGTAGGTTTGGAATCAGAGTTTTCCAGCTTCCCTACCTTTAGATAGACTAGCATATCCATCAGTCCGGTTTTAAACACTAGACGTCCACATTCACCTTTCCACTTTTATGAACAATATCCTCATCGCGTGAAAGCAGTAAACACTCATTAAACCAAGAGATTTTATTCACGTTAACTGATTTAATGATGTTTTTCGTATTACAAACAGGCAATTAGAAACTGTCAACTGCTTTGAGGCATTTTCTCACTGGGAAAACTGTCTGTCTTTCTGGTTTCAACATAGAACTTTGCATAGACGTGCAGCAGTTCGAGTTTCCACACTTCACTCAGCACACAAAGCCACAGAAGAAGAAGAAGAAAGTAAGAGGAAACGCAAAATAGAGACAGGAAACAGAGATATGAGGCAAAAGGAATAGTAATATCGAAGAACAATATAGTCTTATTGGGTATTATAAGTCACATGGAGTGGATGCATCTGCGCTAGCCATTGAGAACAATTTTGAGCCATAGCTCCAATTATCACCAGCCGTTGGTGTTTACCGTCCCGAGGACCCCAACCAGGAAGTCTACATCTTCCTACTGGGAAACTATAGTTGGCAGAGCCTGTAAATTCGTGAATTCAACGATACATGTACTGCTGTAGTTATATCTCAAAAATCAACTAGTGCTGGAAACATGTATCACCAAACTTGAACTCATTGGTTGAACAAACACAGTTTCGTAGTAATATTGAAAGTATTACATAGGCCGCACAATTAGGCATTTTTCTCGTCAGATTTCCGGACACTATCGTGCGTGGTTACGTGAAGGACAAACAATATACATTCATACAGCTATCTATCTCATCTTGTGGATACAGAACACAAGACTGATGTCAACGAGGCGGCTTTCAAAGTCATTTACCACATACCAACTAATTTTAACTTCAACTTAAGATTTCGTCTACTACTTATAGCTGAAGCCGTCGGGATCCACATTCAGAAACCCAATTTATGTATCCAAAAGAAGCTGGTTCAGACACTATCTTCACCTTGGCCATCAAGGACATCACTAGACAAGCCATTGCTCGAGTGGAACCCGAAAGGGAAGCGGCGAATTGGTCATCCAAGGGTAACTTGGAGGAGGTCATGTGAAGAGGAGATAAAAACGTGTGGGCAGACTTGGAGCCAGGTGAAGACTCTAGCAGAGAACCGAACGCAATGGAGACGCACGGCTGTAGCCCTATGTTCCTCTAGGAATTAAAAGAAACAATAATAACAATAATAACGGCCATCAAGGTCCTAACGACCCTCAATTTGTTGTGGAAATTCCCTTAATTTTATTTGATATTCTATTTGCTATTATATTTTAATGCTCCTTACAATTTATGAATCTTTAGTAAACTGTGATTTCATTGCTCTTACTTAACAAATCGATAGTATTTAAAAAAACATCAATATTGTTAATGACGACTATTCTAGAATATTCTATGTATATAAAGTTGTATATATAATTATAGAGCCAAAAGAGGAAGAGAACAGTCTTTAGTCTGGGCTTGAATCATGATAGATATAAGCACGATGTACTCTTGTGTTCAGGGACCCTACAGCTAATGACATACTACATAATAGAAATTGTCTTCAAAATGGCAGAAATTAATCGTCAACTGGAAGAATAAAAGATGATAAGTGCTGACGAAGAAGTAGAGAAAACATTCATTATTCACTTGAGTTAAACACTATCCCGAAGCTGATGCTTTTATTGGTTGGATAACCAAAGACTCTCAAATACAGCAGATAAGGATAACTACTCAGTGACCGACTAGTCAATTTGTTTATTAATTGATTTCAAAAAGGAGTAGAATATGGATTACAGGCTTAGACCGCATTTTACTTAACATACATCACGGTATTGAAGGAATAATCATCTGTCACAGGACTTCATCATGGGCCGACATCGGTTAGAGAACCACTGGAAGACCTCGGACTGGCTCTTCAGCAGTACACACCCACCACCCGACTGCGGTTCAAACCCAGTACCTCCTGGTTACAAGGCGAGCTAGCTCGTAGACCATTGAGCCACTGTGACATGATGCAATGGCCCATGAATTCCAACTTCTGCCAATTCACGAAATAGCGCGACTAGTAGCCGAAGACATAGACAGAGCTCGTCTTGTAACCAGAAGGCCCTAGGTTTGAACCCTGGCGGTGGTTGCGTACTGCTAAAGAGTCCCAAACTAGGACGGGGGAAACAGCTGTTCAGTATTCCCTACAGGTCTCCCAATGGTTCTCTAACCGACGTCAGCTCATGATGAAATCCTGTAACCAATCAATCAAATCCCTACAAACCAATACTTGAATAATCATCTGTTTAAATTTGGAGAGGAGTTTTATGGACAGAGAGATAAACAGACATCTAAAGCGAATCTGATGACCAAGTAGTCATCTGGTGGAAAACTTTTTGGTGATAGGAGCAGTGAATGCTGCACTGGAGACTCGGGAAAGGAAGATCATCACATAAAGTACGAGACGTACATCATGGATTCCACCATTAGACACTATCTATCGAAAGAGTTTAGTCTGCTTCGAGCGATTTCGAAGCAGGACATGCAACTGTGAAACATCGCGGTTCACCACATGTCAAGCATGAACACATTTATTGAATTATAATGAATTTCATTCCTAATTTACCAAGTACAATTATTTACTGGACAATAAATAACCTGGAAACAGTAGAAAGAATCCTTTGGTTGGCGAGAATCATTTTGAGTCATAACATCACCGGTTTCGCGCTGTTGGTTCTTAGTGTCTCCATAACCTCAACCAGGTGTAGTTGACACCTCCCTACGCGATTGGTTAGAACCAGCTATCAAAAGCGCCTCACGGATTGATGCGCAACACGCTTCCTAACCATTTCAATCATATTACACACCATCTTATACCACTTAACACTGGGGACAGAACATAAATCCTTGTGGTCAAGACAACAAGCCTTTTCGAGTCTTCCACTCCCACAGACATAAAGGAGGACACAAAAAATTGCTACGCAATACACACTCCCTTCGATTGATAGCTGGACATCACGTCACCACCACAGATGACTTAGGTTGAAAATCGCCGCGCAAGTCTTTTGCATCCATGTTAAGATTCCGTCAGTAGTAATCTGCCTCATGGAGCTAATGCGACTTCCCAAATACGATAAAAATGGTCAACAACACTGGACCACTTCACTCTCTATCTTACACATTTGACAAGAGCGAATTGTATGTCAAGTACTTGAAAATGCCTGCTCATTAAGTTCAGGAAGACTTTGCATTTTGTCAATGTCTTCACTTAGGAGGACAATATTAATCGCATACTCTAACTTTGACGCGACTGTTCCCAAGTATTACATCAATCCCTAAGTTGCTAAAGTCAGCTAGAGTCAATTTCACTCATACATCTATAACGAAATTAAACAAAAAAATGGAGACAGTGGGTATCTCTGACGGGTACCACCACCGGTTGTCATCACACCGGGCGGCAACTCTTCGTAAGCTCCTACACGGCTTTATGAGTTCGAGTAGAGCAGCGCGCTGTGTTTGATGCGATAACCTTTTGCGTCACTCTATTCACAGCCAAAGCTTGCCACAGCAATTCTCCGCCGACAGAGTCTATATACATATTATAAATAACAGCTCAGATAAGCATGATTTCCTTACTACGAATATATTTTAACTGAAATTAAAGAGGCCATGGCTTTATTAGAAAACAGGAAATAAATAAACTGGTCATCTCACCTTTTCAAATAAATCATTCAATAACAGTTGAGAGAAACTCCCATTGGCTAGAAGGTATGTTTCATACAGACAATAGAAATGATCGCAAAGACGAAGATCAAATATGAAATAGTTGCACAAAGCACTATTGACATATTTCACACTAGAAATTTAAAATTAAGAAAAATAAGAATGCATAGATAGAAACTAAAACGAAAATTGAATATAAGCAATAACTTTATGAATGAATGACTTTAACCAAGGAGCATTAGATGGTTTGTTTCACTCTAGTAGTTTGTGGGACTCTTCAGTAGTGCGCATCTACCACCAGACATCGAGACCAGCACCTTCAGGTTCACTGATCAACCAATCACCTGGGCTGAAAATCAATACGCTGTGAATGCTAACTTTGTCAACTTGTGATGTAGACCTAATGCTAAACCATACTGTCGATCAGCACATACCCACATAGTGTACCCCATCGGTCACAACTTCCTCATAAACGACCTGGAACAGTTGAGGGTAGGTCTTCCACTCTAAATCCTCTCGTGTGACCACGTGTTCTTATAGACTACACCAGATAAGGATGAATCCGAACGTCTAGGATTTACAAGCGGATCGATGGAATTGGTGGTCTACCTACTGAAACTGGAAAGCACTGCTTTCAAACCACCTAAGGGCTTTGGAACTTGAACAGATCGAATGTTGCATGAAGCTATTTGGGATAAAGAAACAAACGAAGACGTTGAGGTTGGATGCATGTTGTGTCCAACTGCAAAAAACCAACAACAACACTGTAGGCAGATGCCTGCTAACAATACTAGATATCCTCCCCTCCAAAGCGACCACGCCAACATACAATTACTCTGTAGCAATCTCTAATGAAGTATTAAAAAACACAAACACTGCGAAGTATAACTGAACATGAGTTTCAAGTATTGGTTTGTGTAGGGATTTGACTAATTGGTTACAGGATTTCATCATGAGTTGACATCGGTTAGAGAACCATTGGGAAACCTGCAGGGAGTACTGGACAGCTGTTTACCCCCCGTCCTAGTTTGGGACTCTTTAGCAGTACGCACCCACCGCCAGGGTTCAAACCTAGGGCCTTCTGGTTACAAGACGAGCTCGTAGACCATTAGGCCACTGGGACCCGACTCAATGGTCAGTAAGCCCATGAATTCTAACTTCTGCCAGTTCACAACATAGCGCGATGACTAGCCAATGTCTTCGGCGTGCATTTGTCCTCACAGCCAACCTGCTGCACCCTACTGGTCACGACTTTTCACTAGAACCCAAGTAACTACCTACCTGAATAGGGACAGTTGCTAGTGAGCATCTCATTGATGTTCAAATATTGGTTTGAGTTAATTAACTGTTAGTTAGTTATCTAAATGAATGAAATTCAACACATGCATTTGTAACAGCTTACAATAGTCTTTCTTTTATATCTTATTACTTTACGCTGGAGTTATACTGAAGTTCGACGTAGAGCGTTAAGTAGGCCGGGGAAGGTAAAGTCAATCGATGAAACTGTTAGGCTACTTTGATCGAGATAGTTAGAACACGTGTCACGCATGCCAGACCATCTCCTTCCTTGTCGCACAATGTTGGCAGACATATGATTACGGTTGAAAAAAAGAGTTAGAGGTGGTGGAATCAAAACTTGGAGTTAATCCACGAAGCCATTGATAGTTGGTTTGAACCAACCATGCTGGGGAGTGTGTAAACCGATAGGTTGAATTCATTGAAATAATAAGATCCAATCAATTATTTATTATTATTATTGTTGTCCCCTTGGGTTCCTAGTGAAACACAGGGCTTCAACTACACGTCTCCACTTGCTTCTGTCTTCTGCTGTACTTTTCACCTGCATCCATGTTAATCCATACTGTTTCAACTCCTCTTCACACGATCTCCTCCATGTCACCCTTGCACTGACGTCCCACTTGCCGCTTCCCTTTCGGGTTCCACTCGAGAACTGCCGTGACGCGTGATGTCACCCAGCGGCCTCCTCAGCGAGTGTCCAATCAATCTCCACTTTCTCCTGCATATTTGTTGGGCGATTGACTCTTGTTTCGTTTGTTCCCATAGTTTTTTGTTGGTGATTCTTTCCGGCAATCTGATCTTCAGTATAGAGCGAAGGCAGTTAGTTGTTGATAAAGGTCTGCAACAGGCTGTTGGAAATATTCTTTGTGACACACTGGCCAAGTTTCTGATCCGTATAGAAGAACTGACTGACTTGACGTTTGTATTGAAAATCCGAATTTTGTTGTTGATGCAGGCTGAGTGACGAAGATTTCCAGATTGGTTTCAGGTGGATGAATGTGTTTTTCACCTTCCCGATTCTCGATTTGACATCCTCGTCCGTTCCTCCTATAGTTGAGACAATGCTCCCTAAATAAGAGAATGAAGTAACCTCCCTCCCGTTGATGGTGATTGGCGCTGGGTTTTGTTGCTGTTGTTGTTGTTGTTGGTTGGTTATTTTCATTTTTTTTAACCTCGCCTAGATTACTAGCTCACTAGTTTTCTAGCCGGTCCCAAGCCCGGATAAAGAGGGAGGGTTGGGGCGTGGTGCTAGCAACTCGACCCCCAAAACTTAAACAAATTGCTACAGAAACTTCAACGGATAAATATATTAAAAAAGAACTAATCAATGGTTTGGGACAATTGGTGACATGGCCCGATATGGTTGCCGATGGAAAAGATGTATACACACTCTTTGCAATCTCTCGGACTAATTGAATTCTCATGTTTCTCCACTTAACTATTATCTCTATCGGACAATTCAGATCCCTTGTAGTTCTTTTGAATTTCTCTTTCCTCTGTTTATTTCCCGTTTGCATATTATACGGAGTGTGCCAACACTTTAAGTGTTGCACTTTTTTCTGGACGTTGGAACGCAGTCAATCAGATGTTATTGGATGAATGAGAGACTATAAAGTTTTGGATATTTTTTGGGCTAACAGAAGATTCTCTATGTAAAGAAGATTATTGTCTCTGGGAATTTCGAAGTAAAGTGTGCATATATATGAGATAATGTAATAAAAGAATACGGAAGTCTGTCAGAGTGATTCGACGAACACCACTTGTAGCAGTCGTCCCTACACACGCTGACTATCTGTCACCCCTGACTACTTCAGTTTGAGTTTAGTTCTCACTTTATAGAAGGTTGATTATGGATTATGGTTAATTACTTCATGACGCCACTACTGGAGAAGGTGTGGAAAGAAGGCAAAGTATCCGAGGATTGGAAGAAAGCATACTTATTCAAACTACCAAAGAGAGGAGACTTAAGTCAATGCAAGAACTGACGCGGAATTATGTTCCTGTCCATCCCAAGCAGAATACTGAGCCGCATCATCCTGGAGAGAATCAAACACGCCGCCCTGGATGAAAAACTTCGACCGGAACAGGCTGGATTCCGGAGAAACAAGTCATGCATTGATCAGATCGCCACATCACGGATCATCATTGAACAAAGCTTGGAATGGCAGGCACCTCTCTATTTCAACTTCATCGACTTTGAAAAGGCCTTTGACAGCGTCGATCGAGAGGTGATTTGGAAACTAATTCGCTACTACCAAGGGGTGCCACCGACAATCATACATCTCATCCAACAGCTGTACGACAATGCTGCATGCCAAGTAATCCACAACGAAAAACTTACGGAATCCTTCGAAGTGAGGACAGGAGTAAGACAAGGTTGCCTACTATCGCCAATGATTTTCCTGATTGCAGTAGATTGGATAATGCGACAAACAGCGGGCAATGAGGAAACAGGCATAAAATGGACTCACACAAAAAACTTGGAGGATTTGGACTTCGGCCGATAATATATGTCTGATTTCCCACAAACTGGAAGATATGCAAGCGAAAAGCAACAAGTTGGCGATAGAAGCATCAAAGATGTGAAGGACTTCAGGTGAACATAGAGAAAACAGGGTTGATGAAGATTCCTGGGCAACACCACCAACAGCAACAACAACAACAACAGACAACAATCAGCATAAATGGGAGGAACCTGAAAGAAACAACCTCTTTTACTTACCTGGGAAGCATCGTTTCAACTACAGGCGAAACTGACGAGGATATCAAAGCAAGACAAGCTTTCACTACTCTCAAGTCTGTGTGGAGGTCAACAACACTCAGCATCAAAAATAAGATCCGGATTTTCAACTCCAATGTGAAGTCAGTCAGTGCTACTATACGGATCAGAGACTTGCACTGCGCATCATAAAGACCATCTCAAACAAACTACAGACCTTCATTAACAGTTGTCTTCGCTCAATACTCAAGATCAGATGGCCGGCCAGAAAAGATCAGCAACAGAGATCTCTGGCAATGAGCGAACCAACCGAGCAGGAACCGATTGTGAAACAAATATGCAGGAAGAAATGGAAATGGATTGGCTGGCCATACTCTGGGGAAACCATCAAGTGACATCACTAGACAAGCCATTGCTCGAGTGGAACCCGAAAGGGAAGTGGCGAGTTGGTCGTCAGTGTGAGGGTGACTTGGAGGAGGTCATGTGAAGAGGAGATGAAAACGTGTGGGCAGACTTGGAGCCAGGTGAAGACTCTAGCAGAGAACCGAACGCAATGGAGACGCACGGCTGTAGCCCTATGTTCCTCTAGGAATTAAAGGAAACAATAATAATAATTTGGATGCCCCCTACTATCATTGGTGCAGGCAAACTTTCCTCTATCCAGCAGAAGTGTTGTGGACCAAACTTTGGACACCGTAGGAATGCTAACTGTCAAATTAGACCAAAATAATATCAGATAACAGTGTATGACGACTATTAAGCATTGAACATTATATATATATATATATACAAATATGTAACGTACTGAAGAGTAAGAGGACGAATTATTGACCGATCAATTAATACGCGTAGAGGAGTCATTAAACAATTAGTTTTACCCTCCGTCAATTCATGAACTTCATTTGACGATAATCTTGACAGCTTGTAATCTCTAAATATTGAAGATTCAGGAAGAAAATCTTGATCTACAATAAACAATGTAATAAGAAATACATGAGACGATTAAGAATGTTGTGGAAGATATTCAACAGTATATATGTTATAATGTTCCTTTCCTCATTCCTTGAGTTCCAAGTGGAACAAATAGGACCAGTTTCAGTGGTGGTGGTGGTGTTGCCTCATACCCAATCCTCCCCTTTTTTCAAAGGCTTATCACCGGCTACGCGAAGTCCAAGATTCGAACCTAGGCCAACAGTCTGGCTGACGAGCGATGTGCCAATGAGCCACCGGTGCACACATGAAGTTACCGTAAACATTCAAATGTTCCACAATTATTGAATAAAAGTCCCGTTGCTTTTTGTAACTGACATAAAAAGAACTTTAGGCGATGCGAAACTATCATATCCAAAGTCAAGGTCAGCGGAATGTTGATCTTGAAGAGCCAATCAGATTTAGAGAACGACACACAAGGTCATTTCAAATTAAATTATGCTTTCCTTTGTGGATTTGGTGAGGGTAGGTACAGTATTCTGCTTATTCCTTGGGTACTTCTTTTTCTGCTCCGCTCCGTCCTCCTTTATGGCTGTGAGACCTGGTCATTGAGAGTGAGAGATATGAAAAACCTGACTAGCTGTCTTTCATCATAGGTGCCCGCTTTCAATCTCTCGTATGAAGTGGTATAATAAGGTGAGCAACATTGAGGTTAGGCTTCAGTCGAGTGCTAGGTGAGGAGGGGAAATCAATAGACGATGCTGTAAAGTTACATCGACTGAGATGGTTACGACATGTCTTACGTATACCTGGTCGTCGCCTTCCTCGACGGGCAATGTTAGCTGACATAGAGTCAGGCTGGAAAAGAGCTAGCGGCGGTCAAACCAAAAGATGGTCTCATCAGTTAATGAAATCCACAACAGTTAACTTAAGCCAACCACGTAGGAAGGTGTAGACTTCCTGTCTTATTGGGGTCCTCGGGACGGTAAAAGCCAATGAAGGCTGGAGGCAATCAGTGATATGGCTGGCTGGCGCAGATGCTTCCACTCCTTGTGACTTATAATACCCGATGAAACTATATTGTTCTTCGTTATTACTATTCCTTTTGTTTCATATCCCTGTCTACTGTCTCTATTTTGCATTTCTTCTACTTTCTTCTCTTGCTTTGTGTGCTACAAGGAGGGAGTGTGGCGACTTGAACAGTTGCACATCAGCGCAAAGTTTTATGTCGAAAACAAACAAACAGACTGTTTTTTCTGCAAAACTACTTTGTCTGGTAGGTTCAGTGGTCTTAGGGTTAAGGTTAAGAATAGAGTTCCGGTTAGTTTAAAGAACAGTCTCAAGAATACTAATAGATCAGGAAGTGCCATAATCTACAATCACCTGGATAGATACACCACCTATCCCGCATGGCATTATTTCTCAGTGGATTATTCTTGGAGTAACTGGGAGACATTCTAACAACACATTAGAGACAACTATTGAGTGTAACATAATGTTTGTAATGTTGTTTAAAAAATTTTTCTAACGCTTGTGCGACATTCTTAAAGCTGAATTCTGACCAGTTGTTCAAGGTTGAAAAGGCTTTGACTACCCGGACAGTTTAACTTCGCAGAAATTCAGATAAAATCACCTGGTAATGATTGAACTATAGTCCACGAAAACTAGTAAATTTCTACACAGTTGATAAAATATGTATGCCAATTTTACACGTTCTGGTTTTGAGATAACACCTACAGAATAGCCTGCTGAGAGAAGGTTGTAGAGAATTACGATTTGCTCTTTGAACATGAAACATTCGTCAACCACGCGCATTAGGATACTGTCAAGGACGACTAACTTGTTATACTGGTGACTACTTCATATCAACGTATCGATTTTCGCACAGCTGTATCGATCTTCTTTGACTCTTTAAACTGAGTACTGCACATGTGCATACGATTTTTTGAGTTTGGATAGTCGCTAGTCGTCAGTGATCAAAGTGCATCCGTATGTCCTAGAACTTCTGATGATTTTTGGTGTCAAAACGGTAGGCATGGCTGAAATCTATTCGCAGTGTGGGCAGGGACCACTAGTATGGACATGTGATGATTGTATAAAGTCTTTTGAAAGCAGGCCGCAAGTACATGGTTCTCACCCTGAGAGTATTCGGTCGGTCGGTCGGTAGGTTTTCGACATAGAACTTTGCACATATGTGCGCCAGTTCAAGTCGCCACACTCCATGTGGCACATAAAGCAAGAAGAAGTAGGAGAAATGCATATTAGAGACAGTAAACAGAGGTGTGAGACAAAGGAATAGTAATAACGAAGAACAAAACAGTTTAATTGGAAATCATAAGTCACAAGGAGTGGATGCATCTGCGCCATTGAGAACGATTTTGATCCATGTCACCAATTGTTTCCAACCATTGGTTTCTACCGTCCCGAGGACCCCAACCAGGAAGTCTCCACCTTCCTACTTGCATGTCTTAAATTAACTGTTGTGAATTTGATTAACTGGTGCCATGTTTTCGTTTGGCCGCCGCTAGCTCTTTTCCAGCCTCACCCTATATCAGCTAACATTGCCCGCCGAGGAAGGCGATGACTAGCCATGCATACGTAACACATGTCCTAACCATCTCAGTCGATGTAACGTTACAACCTCGTCTATTGATTTCCCCTCCTTACCTAGCACTCAACTGACGCCTAACCTCAATATTGCTCACCTTATCATACCACCTAACGCGGGAGATAGAACGCAAACACCTATGATCGAAGACAGCTAGCCAGGTTTTTCAAATCTTCCACTCTCAATGACCAGGTCTCACAGCTATAAAGGAGGATGGAGCGGACTGGTAAGCAGTACACCCGCCCTTTGGTCGATAGCCAGCCGGATATCACGTCTACGCCAGAGACGGCGTAAACTGGCATATGCGAAACTAGCCCTCTGTATTCGTACTAAGATTTCGTCAGAGATCAACCCGTTGGCACTGGCTGATGGTACTTCCCAAATAAGTGAAGCGGTCAACGTGCTCTACCACTTCACTTTCTATTTCTAATCTAGGGTTCGGTGTAGTCCAATCTTGTAACATCATCTTACATTTTACTGGGGCGAATCGCATGCCGAACATGCGAAGATTGCAGCTCAAGGTGTTCAGAAGACTCTGCATTTTGTCACTTCGATCTGACTGGTTAGCAAACACTGTAACGGGAGAAGGCAAGAGGTTTTCGCTACATTTAAGGTCGGCTAGGTCAGCGGATAGCAAACTGTTCTGGTTGGCTGTCAGCTTTCTGAAGGCTACACACTTGAGACAAAAACTTGTCCAATGAGATTATTTCCTGGCAACAATGTAAGCTTAATTCAAATTTGAAGAAAAAACACTTCCACCTCTGCTGCAGCCATTGACGTAAAATGTTATTTGCAATTTTAGCTACTTCTTATCAATCTGCGTCTATATACTACTGGCAAATCTTGTCAGTAGTACACGCCACAACTACTCATTTCAGTCAATCGGTAGTAGGCCATAGAGCAATAAATCTGAATAAACAAGTATACATAAATAATAATCACCAATTGAGGAAATTACAGAAATACAAAACAACCTACCCAATGATGGGAATTCTTTTGTAAATGGTTTCACCTTCAATGTATTTTTATTGATTTCTAAAAGTTCTTCATCAGGCGTTATAGTATCTGATTCATTCGGTGCATTGGCTAAGCGTATAGCATCTTCTTTCATCCGTTCTGCCTCCCAAACTATAATATAAGGAGTTATATTGAAATACAACAGACAGCGTTAGTGATATATATATATATATGCTAGCATATATATTAATCCAAATATCAATCTACAGCTCATCGATGGCTGCCAGATGGATGTCCTGAAGCTGTAGTCAGACGTCGTGACCAGTGAGGTCCACCACTTGTACTATGCGCTGAGGATGTTGCCTAGTAAGGCAATGAAGGCTTCACAACTAAACCACCCAGCTCAGAGAAAAAAACAGCTACACCATCACAAAAATTCGTCTTCCTGAACTACAAATTTTTGGCACTATATATAAATCCTATGAAGTTCATCATTTCAAGACGAAGTGGATCCGCATAGAAGGCAAAATCACTGAGGGTGGCGCTACATCACGAATTGACAGAAGTTCACGAATTCACAGGTCACTAAATTCTGACTCAGTTGGCTCGATGGTCAACGAGCTTACTCCTGTAACCTGAAAGTCCTAAGTTCGATCCCTGGAAGTGGGGTCATAGATGTACACTAGTGAAGAGTCCAAAACTAGGAAGAAAACGGTTGACCAGTGCTCCCTGTGGTTTTCAATAACCTCTCTAAATGATGTTAGATCGTAACGAAACCCAATAAATGAAATCAAATTAATCCAATTTCCATAATCTAAAATAATAGTGAATTTCGTCTCACTGCTTTGCGTTCAGAGTGGAAATATCAGGATTCAGGGTTTTTAAAGTTCTGAGAGAGTTTCAGTTGGTCCTTTTTACAAATACAGAAGTTGCTAGCCTCATACACAACTCTCACTCTTTCCCAGGATTAATACCTGCTAGTGTGGTGAGAGCTGGCTGCTAGCCAAAGTTGGTACGCAGTAATTGACGTCAATGTTTATGTCCCCAATATTGGTAGTGAGAAAATGAGAACAAAGGCTTTGTGTAGGCGGATACAGTTATCATATAGATGATCTGACACAACCACAAAGAGATGCAAGGTTAACTTTCTGTGAGAAACAACCAATCAAAAGACTGTATTTTCTACTAACAATAATCTACAATAATGTACATTAAAATCTATAAATATGTGTTGATTTTCCTTAATAAACGATCTGTTGCCTGGCCCTCGTCTTCTGTTGTTACACTAGTACCTAAGCCAGACACATCTTCAAGCACCTATCACAATTCGTGTAAACCAGTTATAATATTGGTCACTGCTCTAGGAACTTATTTTCTTTTTGTGCTGGGGAACACCTACGAGTGTGTGGCTAAATAAAGATGCAGTTAAAAAAACATCTAACAGTACAGCATCATTTATCGTATACCGAAGAGTTCGTGCACTGTTTAATGCTGACTATGGACACACACACACGTCCTATTATTTCCGATTAGGCAGAATGACAGTATATCTGACGGCATTTAGACAGAGACACCTCTCACAATTTGAAGTCTGTATATTTTATTCATTATTTGACTTAAAAGAAAAAATACCACCGTATTTTAGACAAATCTTCTGTTTGGATTTTCAACGTAACTCAAAATGTTTAGTTTATTCAACTGAAATTCTAATTACAACTGTCGTTACGGATTTCTGAGAGAGAAGAAATCTTCTACACAGTGAAATATATCAAAATAAACTCACCTGAAGGTCTAGATGATGGTCCAACACCTTTGCCGTAGAGTATATGCTGGATCGTTGAATCAGATGAATGACCATATTTATTACGTTGCTTAAATGCTTCTATAGATTTAAGAGGATTCGAATTGTTTGTCTCTACCATTGTATCTCTGTTGGTATCTTGAGACTTATTAGTACATTCCTAAACAAAAAATAGAAACATTTGAGTTATATAAAACAAATAGTTTTTTTCAGGGGTAGCAGTGGTTGCATTTTTACGGGATGGGGTTGATAGCCAACCTCATCCCCCGACCTTCACTCTTTACCATTATTATTACTGCCTTAGAGAGGTAAAGGAGTGCGTCGGCCGGGGATTGAACCCCGGGCCATATGCGTAGTCGGCAAGCGCTCTATCGCTGTGCCACCGACGCAAAGTAAATGGGAGAGAAGTTAAATAGTAACATCCACCTCGAACTACCTTACCACCGACTAACCGGAGTCTCATGCAATTATGAAATTCGTGTGCATTTTGATTCTACTTTTTGATCTACACAGAAATCCCAAACCTCCTAAAAGATCACTCCTCCTGTTATGCTCCTCCCCCCCCTCAACATTCACCTTTCAGTAACTAGAAATGAATCGATTATTCATATAGTAACCAAAGAAATCGACCTTCCCGAAACTCATCCAATGAATTCAGAACACAAGGCATACTTTGATTTACTCAAACATATCACCTGTGCGTCGAACTGGTTGTCGAAGGTCATGTACTCGGCTGGCTGATATAATTTCAGATTAGCAATCAATCCACCGAACACCAAAACTAGTTAAACTGGTCAGTTTATTTTCAGTTTTCACTGACTGATGACAAATTCTACATACACACAAGTGAGTTATGGGGAAGAGAAATCCTTAAATTTGTGCATTTTTGAATATTATTATTATTATTAGTCCCTTAGGATCATAGTGGTGGTGCGTCGGTGGCATAGCGGTTAGGACGCTCGCCGACCATGCACATGGTGCGGAGTTCGATCCCCGGCCGACGCACTCCTTTACCTCGCTAAGCCAGAAATAATGCTGGTATAGAGGAAAGGTTGGGTATGAGGCCAGCAACCCCATCCTGTAAAATAAACTCTGCTACAGAAACTTCAAGCCACAAGCTTGAAGCCCTATGTTCCACTATGGGACGTGAAGGATTAAAAAAAAAGGATCATAGTGGAACATATAGTCTCAACAGGACATCTGCATTTCATCCTGTTCCCTGGTGTCTTCTTTAACTGGCACCACCACGATTGGCCATAGGCTCTCATTTCCTCCTCACATGATTTCCTCGTTGTTTCCCATTCAGATTCCACACTTGAGGGATGTCACTCAATAGTCCCCTCAGAGCGTCTCCGGTCCATCTCCATTTTTTTCGGCAACGGGTTGTTTTGCTGATTTGTTGCCTGGTACAGTGCCTTGTTGTGCTAGTCTTTTCTGGTTATCCCATCTTCATTGGAAGAAGACACAGTGGCTGACTGGCTTCTCGAAGGCTTTCACCAGCCCGCATCAATCATTCCGTTTTGCCGATTCTAGCGAAGTCTCTGTAAAGACTGGGTTGATTACCCAGGTTACCCTTACTAGTCCCACACCCAACCACTCCTCCTTTTGTGAGGATGAAACGGGTCAGTAAACTGCCCGAAGTCACAATCATGAATGCACACTGGAATTTACAGATATACACTCATCATACTTGACTTTGGGATTGCTTAAATCTTACATATAGATGAACTAATTGCAATAAAAGGAAGTATATTAATGAGAATATTATCTTAACGGGTCACGTTATAATAATAAGTACTCAGATAAGCGAACACAATTTGTTAAATAGGGGAAAAATAAGCATAATATTGTATAATGCTATATGAGATGTTAGATAGCACTCACAGCAACCAGTAGTGTTTGTAAGTCAGTCAGATAGAATTGATCTAAACACAGGCAGGCCGCCTGGGGTCATGACCATCAGTAGTTTACGTCGTTTGACTCAGTTCAGAGACAGCTGAATCAGTTTAAACCACCGACGAATTCCAGCTAGTTCACTTCAGTGACCTGATAAATACAGAATCTATATACAATCAGCAGTAATTTATCTAATCATGAATAAATAGTCATTAGGTTCATAAACAGGGATACAGTAAGACATTCAAAAAATAAGGATCAAATTACAAACAGAAGATGACTGCTTTGATATTACTCATTGATCCCGATAAAACAATCGCCTAGACAATATTTACAGGAGAATAGCATTGAATAAATGGCAGATAAATAATAAAAATTTTCAAGTATTGCCTTTGTAGGGATTTTGTTTGATTGGATGGAGGATTTCATCATGAACTGACATCAGTTAGAAGCCATGACCAGTAGGGTTCAGCAGGTTGAAGGTGAAGTAGTAACTTATCGAATAAGACACTGCGAAATGGCCACGCTGTTGTGATTTGGTAGAAGTTTGAATTCATGCACTGGCCATTTGATCGGTGGCTCCCAGCGGCTCAATAATGATCTACGGGTTAGCTCACCTTGTAACCATAAGGTCCTGGGTTCGAACCCTGGCGGTGGATGCGTACTGCCGAAGAGTCCCGAACTAGGACGGGGGTGAAACAGCTTTCCAGTATTCCCAGTTGGTTTTCCAATGGTTATCTAACTGATGTCAGCTCATGATGAAATCTTCCATCCAATCAAATAATTAAAATACCCAGTTGTCATTCGGAACAAATCAATCCACCCGTAATCGAACTTGCACAGTCGATGGTGGGTAGTACTTTAATCTTCCTCTCAAAATGCTCTCGTGTGACTACGCGTTCATAGTTTTTGCCAAGTAAATCCTATTCACTACCTTCATGAGCCGGTTGAGGTGTTCTTCACTATAATGAAAGTACAAAAAATGGGACCTCTCTAGCGATTGCAATGGGACCGGGTCCACCTAGGGGAACTGGGATATCATGATTCCAAACCTATGGTGTACATGGGTTCCAGAATCCAAACGGATCAAATGGCGTATGAACCTGTTCTGGTCACTGAAAACTATGGGGATGTAGCTCCTGACACTGCTAGACCGCCTTTTAGATTAGACTTTAGATCAAAGGTGAGAGAGAGAGGGTTACCCTGTAAGATCACCACCTGATTCGATCTGGGAGTACGGAGAGTATCCCAAATCCCGACCAAGCTATAAGATTTTCTGAGATGCATCTCTTATTTCCTATAAAGTACCAGTTTTTTTTATTTTATCAAATTATAATAATGTAGAAGTCTAACGTGAAGTTTTTGACACGAAACAAAAAAAACGGGGGCGTGAACACTTACGGAATTCCCACGATTGTCATCAGAACCATAAATCAGCTGTGACATTTGTTCCTTAAATGTACAAACGCCTTGATTACGCTGAGCAAATTTAATGCGTAGCATATTTAAAGGATCATCATCATTTGACAAATCGCCAGACGTACATATCGCTGACCTATTCTCTTCATTTGATGAAACAACACGACAACTGGATGCTTTTTCATGCTCAAGAACTTCTTGTTGATCGTCTGCAACAGACACTTGATCAGACGGATAAGATTGGCTTGACTGTACTTTACTGGTTGACAGCTTGTCGTCAGTTAATTCACTGTGCAGCACTTCATAAGCCATGGGTGCAATACGATTAGCTTTCATCTGTAAAGCTTTACTGGCATTCGGTTCCAAAGTTTCAATAAGAATTTGATCATTTTTTATGTGGGTGTCTAGGTCGGCTCGATGTTTATCAACTTCTTGAGTTAAATTAGCATAATACGCTTCTAATTCAGCCCTGTGGAAAAAAATAAGAACAAATCAATGGGTAATTGTATATATTTTTTTATTTTATTAATTCATTCACGTTCCCAGTGGAACATAGGGCTTCAAGCTAGAGACTTGAAGTTTCGGTAGCAGTGTTTATTTTTAAAGGATGGGGTTGCTAGCCTCATGCCCAACCTATCCTCTTTTCCAGCTTTATTTCTGACTTAGCGAGATAAAGGAGTTCGTTGGCCGGGAATCGAACTCCGGACCATGGTCCTAACCACTATGTCACCAACGCACAATTGTATATATAATGGACAATAAAGAAAGTCTTCATCATCTTATTGTAACAAAATAAAAACGGTTATAGATAGAGTGTATTGAACACTGTTTGCTTTTTTCTTCCTTTCAAGGAAACACCCAGGTGTCCATTCTGTGCAGCAAGACGCAAAACTCCTTTCAAGACTTGATGTCAATGATGACAAATAGACTGTTTGTTTGTGAGGCGACTTGGCCAATGTAGTTTGATTTCTTGAAGTGTACAAAATACACGCTCTTACAGAGCTCGCCTTCTGTTTTTGTTGACTGCGTGACTGCTGCATAGTTAAACATCAAGTGACAAAACAGATCACTGTAATTTATTGGGAAAAAATTTTCCATAGAGTGTAGAAATCTTAGACAGGGGCACAGGATTAATAAGATTGACAGGCAATCAAAACAGTACTCAATATGGTAGGCATTCTGACAACATACTGCATATATACGTATCCATAAATATACGTATTTGACAGTTGGTGGAAATCGGCATGAACCCGTGGACATAGGCTTCCTACTTGTTGGCACTCGTCAGAAAGACGTATTTGTAATTTTGAAGGAATTCATATCCTTATAATTTGAAACAGAGAGATTAGGGCTATGAAAGAAGGATTGATTGAACGAACTTCTTTTATGTACACAGCTTTGGCTTTTCTATTTCGATGGCTAAAGCTTCAGCAATACAGATGAGTTGAACTTCAGTAGACTTTTCGTCGCTTTGTGTGCCAGTGGCATACAAGTAGAATGCTCTCTATCCATGCATGTTGTCTGGGATTCGATCCTTGATCAATGCACTCCCCAACGTCTCTAAGCCGGCAGTAAGATGGGTAAAGACACGGAAGGTCGGGTATGAGGCTAGTAACCCCGTCCTGTAAAATTGAAACCACTGCTACCAGAACTTCAAGGCTGTAGCTTGAAGCCCTATGTTCCACTGAGAATGCAAGGAAAAAAATAATAATAATAATTTCTTCGCTTTAAAGATCATTCAGTTTCTATTGGTTTTCCCAATCTGTCGGTCTTTATTTTATTTTTGTTTTATTTTTTTATTTTTCATTACAGCTTGAAGCCACACCGTATTTTCAGTACAAGTATGGAATTTTCAGCATGGATATCGGTAGCCCAAATTTTGCAGGCCAACCATAGATATCGAGTGTGCGTCGGCAGGGGATCGAATCTATTTACTTTCCTCAAACACTTCACTGAGATGAGTACTTCTGCTTAAACTGCCGACAAAATAAAGCTGAATCTCTCCTTATGATATTAGCTGCACAGACCTGAATTATCACAAATATGGTCATATTTATTATTTTATTCCTTCCCGTTCTGAGTGGAACATACGGGTTCAAGCTATAGCATTGAAGTTTCGGTAACAGTGGTTTTATTTCTACGGGGTGAGGTTGCCCAACCCTCCGTGTCTGTGCCGACCTTACTACCGGCTTAGAGAGTTTCAGGAGTGTGTCGGCCCCGGATCAAACCCCGAACCACCTGCATGGCTTTACCCCCAAAGTGTATGTTTCAAACAGAGCGATTTAATTGACTTACTTAGCCTCATTGATCACCTCTTGTTCATACTTATCAGATAAGGCGATTGATTCTAAGAGCATTTGATCAGCCTTCTTTTCAGCGTCTATCGCCTCTCGACGTCTGCTGGCAGCTGTTTCAGCGGCCAATTTCAATTCAGCCAGTTGAGCACGCTGTTTGACGACGTGAGCTTCCAACTGTTCAATTCGTTTCGCTACATGGTGAGGGACAAAGGAAAAAGTTGAGGATTATATATAGTAGACGAATCCAATTAACACCCAATATACCAAACATACTACTGATATGTGGGATACTGTCAAGTGATGTTGTATTGGTAAACTTATAATTAGGATGATAAAAGTTATCCCTATACGACATTAGTCTGTCTCATCATAAAAATAAGATTATTTCCAACAAATTTTCAATTTAGAGAACCATTGGAAAACCAACTGGGAGTACTGGACAGCTGTTCTCTCCTCCGTCCTAGTTTAAGGCTCTTCATCAGCACGCACCCACCCCACTGGGGTTCGAACCCAGGACCTTCTGGTTACAAGTCCAGCGAGCTTGTAGACTAGTAAGCCATTGAGACCCAATCAAATGGCCAGTGCATGAATTCTAACTTCTGCCAATTTATGACATGGCGCGACTACTTCGCAATGTCTTCTTCGATGAGTAACTGCCTCACCTTCAACTTGCTGAACCCTACTGGTAGCAGCTTCCCAACAAAACCCCAGGCAACCGCCTGAATTGGGCGGGTCGCTAGTGACCATCAGATTAATTTTCAGGCACTGGTTGTTTGTAGGGATTGTGTTTGATTGGTTGGAGGGTTTGGCATTTGAAGGGCATTCCCGCAAACGCGGAAAACGTAGATATCATTTATTAAGTGAACAGTAAGTTATTATACTAACGATGGAAAACGCTATAAATGACAACTGCTATCGATTATTCAACTGACAGATTTATGAAATAATAATTTTCTCTCAGATTCATAAAAAATTCCCCCCCCCCACCTCCATTATCAATATACTACTTTCGGTATACCGGAGATCTGGGGCTCACCAACACAATTATTGTCTGGATCATAGTAGAGAATACGGGAAGATCTGTTCCGCAAAAACATAAAAAAGGAATTCGCTTTGCAACAACATTACTTTCAGCACGCATCATCCTTTAAAGCGATTCCCGAATTCTCATCGTGTAAAATATTGCCATAAATATATTTCAATAGAAAACTGAAAAACGTCAGGGGAAACACATTGTTCAATCTTGGTAAAATAATGTTAAATAATAATATTGCATTAACTGCATGTGAAGGGGTGTTCACAACGGAAAACCCAGCAAAGCCCTTGAAATGAAAACAGAAGTAGGACAAAGCTGTCTACTTTGATGGCATTAGACAGTTGGAGGCAATCGGCCACAGGAAGCCTTGAACCTAGGTTTCGTGCTAGTTGGCACTCACCAGTCAGTCAGCAAGGCGTATCTGCAACTTTGAAGGGACTCATCTCCCTTCTGAGATTCGAACCCGCGTCACCCAGTGCCGCCTACAGTCAGAGACGTTACCACTGAGCTATTCGGGCTCGCGATTGACCTCCCGTAGGACTGCAGTGAGTATTTTGATTGGACACTAGTAACTAGTGTGATGTGTCTAGTCCTCTCTTCGGTGCAGACTGAATTCTATCAGTCAGGCTTTGCAATCTGGCCACCATTCTATCTAATATCATCAAATCAATGTGCACCGTGATGGCGAGCTACCTAGAATGGTGGCCACATAGCAAAACCTGACTGACAGAATTCAGTCTGCACAAAAGAAAGGACTAGACACGTCACACTAGTTACTAGTGTCCAATCGAAAGCTGTCTAGACCACTTGGACCACTAAAGCCTTACCCACTGGACCACTTGGGCGTCTGCGTCGGTGGCACGGCGGTTAGGACGCTCGCCGACCTGCACATGGACCGGGGATAGATCCCATGCCGACGCACTCCCTTACCTCATCAAACCAGTAATTAAAAAAAGCTGGTAAAGAGGAAAGGTTGGGCATGAGGCTAGCAACCCCATCCTGTAAAAATAAACACTGCTACAGAAACTTCAAGCCTCTAGCTTGAAGCCCTAGTTCCACTGGGAACGTGAAGGAATAAAAAAATCAAAAGCTGTCTACTATCAGCGATGATTTTCGTGATTGTAGGCGACTTGATCATATGGCAGACAGTGCATGGAGAGCAAGAGGAAAGAAATACATTGGACCGCCGAGAAGATTCCACGAGGTTTGAACTTTGCAGATAACCTATGTCTAATGACACACACAAACTTGAAGGTGAAAACTAACAAGTTGGCAGCAGAAAAAGCAGCGAAGACAGGATTTCAAATGAAAATGTAGAAGACCGAGGTGATGCATATAACCGACCAACCAACCAACAGCAACAACAACAAGTACTAATCACTATCAACTGCAGAAATTTGAAGGTCACTTATCTAGGCAGCATCGTTTCAACTACAGGAAACAGCACGGATGAAAATGTCAAAGGGAAATACACCTTCATTATCCTGAAATCCATTTGGAAATCTATTCCCTTAAGCATTGAAAAACAATATCCATATCTTCAACACTTATGTTAATTCAGTGTTTCTATACAGTTCAGTGACTCTGTGCGTCACAGCCATACGTCTACTGGCTCCATACAGAAGGTCAGATGGACAGAAAGGATTGGCAACAAGGAACCCATCAACCAATAAATATTCTAAATGGTTTACGAGCTAGCTCGCCTTGTAACCAGAAGGTCCTGGGTTCGAACCCCAGTGGGGTGGGTGCGTAGCGCTGAAGAGTCCCAAACAAGGACGGGGGAAACAGCTGTCTAATACTCCCTGTAGGTTTTCCAATGGTTCTCTAATTGATGTCAGCTCATGATGAAATCCTCCAACCAATCAAAATGGAGATGGATTAGACATACGCTGAGGAAACAATTGTACGACACCACACACACACACACAAAGCGGACCTTCAAGTGGAACCTGAATGGGAGACGAGTTGTGCATAGATACAAGGATGACATGGAGGAAGGAGGTCGTATAAGTAGTACATGTCAGCTAAAGAAAACTGCGAGGAACAGGATAAAATAGAGATATGCTGTTAAAGCCCTACGTTTCACTCGGAACCTACGAAAGTAATAATAATATCAATAATAATAAAGTTATACGACTAACCTTCAATGGCAGCAAGTCTTGACGTTTGAATATCTTTTACATACTTCAAGAATTTTTGTCGTTCAATAATCATTTGAGTAATCTTCTGTTTTCTGAAACGGAAACAAAAGTAAAATCAATATCAAAAACAACGCTGACAAGGTAGGCAGATTTGTATGTATACAAGTGTGTACACAGTAAGGAGATAAGAAGCCGGAAACACTACACTGAACTGGGAGGCAGTTAGTTTTATACGTTAAAAATACATAAACTCACAGGAAATACTTATCCAGACAGGGAAATAAGAACAAACACTTCAGCGCAGAGTCAGTTTTCCAGAGAATTTATTCACTTAGCTGTACAATCTCAATGATTTTTTCTATAGTTTGGTTTGTAAGTGTTAGTGTTGTTTTTACGAGTTAATCACGGATTGATATCAGTCAGAGAGAACCATTGAAAACAAGCAAGGAGTACTGGACAGCTGTTTCATCCAAGTCTGGGAATCATCAGCAGTACGCACCCACGACTCCACTAGGGATGGAACCCAACATCTTCAGGTTACGAAGGCCGACCTGGCTGACTATTTTCAGCCACCTTGGTCGGCATTTAGTGACCCATGGAATTCGAACTTTTTCAACTAGTGATACAGACCTAATACTAACCGATACCATCGATGAGTATATATCCACTTCACTTTGAACATGGTAGCCCCCAATAGTCGCGACTTCCTAATATAACTTTTAGGCGATGCATCCAGTAGCCGCCAACTAGCTGGGAATCGATATTTGGAATACGGGTTCTTGTAGAGATTTAGATTAATTTGGTCACCAACCAACGTCAGTTAGAGAATAACTGAAAAGCAGTGGAGTACTGACTGGACAACTGCTTCGTCCTACAATGAGACTCTTCATTGAAATGCGTCGAAATTCCTCAAAACAGAAAAAACTCAACATAAAACTCACGATGTGACCGTCCAGCTTTGATAAGATAGAAGGATTGAAGACAAGTAAAAATTAGGCAGTGTTAACGCTAACAGAAGTTTGAAAACTATGATTAATAGAAATAATTAAGACTAACCGGCCGTCAACAAGAAGAATAATGACAAACTGATACCCTTTCTCTGTCTGTCTTCATCTTTCCTCGCCGTCATGTCAAGTGGAGTTTTTCATAAATACATTTGATCACCATAAATAGTCGGACAATCATCACCATACAGGCAATTTACTTCACTACACTGAGACAGAGAGAGCGGGTAAAGGGAAGCCCTCAACTACTTTATTAAATGGAAGAACAAGACCCCGGGGAAAAGCTTGTACAACTAACCTTGTAGCCGTATGTTCAATAGCTGTATTATTTAACAATTCCTGATATTTCCCAAAAGCATCTTGATAGTTAGACACTTGTTCAACAGTCTCCAGAAAACATAAATTTGGAAATTTTGAACGAGTTTGAAATAGAAAATGCTGAAATAGGAAAACAAATATAGCGTTTACAAAAGCCTGAATACATCTCATTACTTCGGGACTTAAAAATAAAAGTGTGCAAAAGACCCCCGAGGTTTGATGTTATAAACCATGCATGTCAATAAAAATTGGAACACTTAAGTCACTCACTGGAAGTCATTGCATAACAACAACTATTCAGAAACGATGACTCACTAGACCCGAAATGCTCAGCAGTATTCTTATTATTATTATTATTGCTCTCTTGGGTTTCCAGGCTTTAAAAGCACATCTCCATATTGTCCCATACTCCGCAGTCTTCTCGGTTGGTTTGTTCCCATAGTTTCTTGTTTCTAATTCTTTTTGTCCATCTGATCTTCAATTTGGAGTAGGTGAAGGCAGCTCTATTGATAAAAGTCTGCAACAACCTGTGTTCAAGTGCTTTTCGTGAAGCACTTGTCAAGTATCTGTGATCCTTACAGAAGAAGTGACTTAACAGCTGTGTTGAAAATCCGAATATTGTTATTTACTCTGAGCGAAGAAGAATCATTTCAGAATGATGAAAGTTTGTCTGGCCTTTCCGATTCTCGCTTTGACATTTTCATCCGTGCTGTCGTCTGCCTGTAGTTGAAACGATGCTTCCCAGATAAGTGAAGGAAGTAACCTCTTTTAAATTTCCCCCGTTGACAGTGATTGGTGTTTGTTACAGGATTTTTATCATGAGCTGACATTATTTAGAGAACCATTGAAAAACCTGAGAGTACTGGACAGCTGTTTCGTTGTGGTTTGCGACTCTTCATCAGTACGCACCCACCGGGATTCGAATCCAGGACCTTCTAGTTACAAAGTGTTTGTTGTTGTTGGCGGTGGTGGTGGTGGTTGTCGTCATCATCCTCGTGGTTGGTTATCCTCATCACCTCCGTCTGCTCTATGTTCACTCAAAGTTCTTCACTGCTTCGCCTGTAAGTCTTTCAGTTTTTGTGAAATGTTTGGTAGGGGTGAATGCTACTAATCGCAGTTCGTATTAATATGCCTAAAGCCAGTAGTGTGATACCTAATTTGATGAAAAGGTCACGTGACACATCTTGCATCCCAGTGTTTATGGACTTAGAAATATTTTACAAATATGCAGGAAGAAAAATAGACAGATTGAACATACATTTAACTGAATTTTAGATTTTCCCGTCCATTGATTGATTGGACCGAAGTGCTCGGTGTCAGGTTGACATGTCGGCTTCTTGTGCAGATGCTTCGACGATGTCTGGGCATGTAATTATAGGTTAATTGGTGGATGGTGACTAGCAGTGGAATCCAGGACAACGCGTATTTCATCCTGTTTGGGACTCATCATCTGGTGTATCTGCTAGCCACTGCTAGTCATCATCCACCAATTAGATTGAACATACACTTAGCAGAATGTTGAATGATATTACGTGGCTGGTCCTCCAGTGAAACACAACAAGTTGGGCGTCCGAGGGTGACATGAAGAAGATCGTGTGTAGGGGAAACGAAAGCTTATGGGACAGCTAAAACAGACTACAGAGAAGAGACTGGAATGGTGATATATGCTGCTTAAGCCCTATATTCCACTCGAGATTCCAAAGAAATAATAATCTGCGCGCTATTTCACAGCATTTTATTATTATTATTATTATTATTACAACAAAAACCCACCACGTTTTATAGAAACTTAGAGATGCGCTATACTACCCGGACGTCCAGAATAAAGTAGACGGTTGATTGTCTTAAGCGGCCACCTCCGGAGTCTTTGATTGGAAGTCTGATCCACAAAGCAATAGGAAAGCGCCAGGAGACCCGTTCACATGGTTTCAAGTGACCAAACCATGTTCATATGCACCATTCGATCCAACGGATTCTGGAGTCTAAGGTTTTCAGCTCTCTAAGCTAAACTTGCATATCCATCATTCGGGTTGTGAGCTCCATGCCTTAGCATTCACCGCGTTTCACGTTTGTCAGGAGCACCCAAGCCGCGTAAAGGCAGTGAATGGGACGCATGGCTACAATGAGAGCATTTCGAGAGATAGACCGAAGTCTTTTTTTTTTTTTTTTTTCCTTCACGTTCCCCAGTGGAACATAGGGCTTCAAGCTAGTGGCTTGAAGTTTCTTTAGCAGTGTTTATTTTTACAGGATGGGGTTGCTAGCCTCATGCCCAACCTTTCCTCTTTACCAGCACTATTTCTGGCTTAGCGAGGTAAAGGAGTGCGTCGGCCGGGGATCGGACCCCGGACCATGTGAATGGTCGGCGAGCGTCCTAACCGCTATGCCACCGACGCACAGACCGAAGTCTACCAACCCTCAATTATACGTTCCCTCACGATCATTATGATCAGTCTTTCCGCGTTATCAACAATCAGTCTTGTACGAAAGGGCACTGAGACCACAGAAAGATAATACAAAAGAGGTTTAAGGACAGTCCAGTTTTACAAAAGATTCGGGTATTAGATTAAATAATAATGTGAATGAATACTCGCCGATCCGTGTAGCTAAAAAGTACCGTTTAACTACTAAAAATCTCCAGACGTTATCTAACTGAAGATAGTACCTACCCACCCATCGAGTCCTTGATTAATAATCCTTGTATAAAAAGATTTTAATCAGACAAAAGAGGATGAAACAATGCGGTCAGATATATCTATGAGAAATCATAAACATAAATTCGAAAAAAGACAGGCTAGTTAAGTAAATGGAACATGCATCCAATTGCGTGACCTGATTCTGTGGTGTCCAGACCTACAACTGCCTATTTCTCAAGTTCTACTGATTTCATTGAATTTCTCGGCGGTCGGACAGAAGCTCTACAGCATTCATTTCTTCTGATCTCGATTTCTCACTATGTCTGGTCCAATGTATAACGCATCACAACACCCCCCCCCCCCAAGCATTTTATTTTTATAGACACTACTGAGAAATCCAGGTGAACTAGAAAAGCTGGAAAAATCACCAACTATAGAGCGTCTACACGCTATGGAATCACGTTACAAAAAAACCATCTTTCCTACTTGTCCAGAAAAATACGTGTACAATTATTCTGATATTCCACTATCTCCAATTCAAAGGCAAATCTTAGCACTTGGACCTAATTTTTGTGATGCAACGTCAAAAGTGAATGAACTGAACACGAAAGTCCAATTCGAGAATTTAATCGACCAGACGAAAGATCTGACCCCAATCTCATATGAGAATGCAGACCTTTTCAAATCAACCGTTTTAAGTTGCTGCCTCGATTACATCAACAAAAAAATCGATTTTGACAGTATTTCAGAAATCACAAAGAACGTCATCAGAAGCACCTCAAATCAAATGCAATCTGAATTGTTTGAATAGCAATGATGGATTAAAAGAGAATACGATCTGGTTCCAACACCCTCCTTCCCCAGGAAGTACAAAATTATGGTGCTTTCATTATTTCATACGCTTATCAAATCCAACAGGCTACACTTGGTTTTGTTATCTTTATCAATTGGCCAACTTGACAATGTAAAAATTACTCCATACTGATGCAGGATGACTAAATTGTTATATATAAGCTGAAATTTTGTAAATTCCGGTTTAAAATTACTACTTTGATAAGGCTATTAGTAGTATTAAACAGTAAAAAATCAGTAAAAACAACAACATTGTTTCGTTTTTCATTCATTCATTCATTGGGAAATACAAAAACTTTTATAATAATATCCAATGCCCACATTTTTTCAAACTGTTAAAAGTGAACTTGGTTTGGACACATATACAAAAATAAATTGACAATACTGCAAAATTTCTTTTTAGAAAACAAATGCAGAAGACTGGGATCAGTACTTTCTATCCGATTCCTTTAAGTTCCAAGTGAAACATATGAGCTCAAGCTTGAGACTTGAAGTTTCAGTAACCGTGATGTTTCTTTCTGTGTGTGTTACGTGATGGGATTGTTAGCCACACGCTAGACTTACTCTTTTTACTGAGCTTACTACTGGTTGAGCATGGTGGTTTTAGGGGTGCATCGACCGAAGATTGAAGCCAGACCATACAAGCACGGCTAGTATTGGCGAGTATTCATTCTACCATTGAGCCACCGACGCCATGAGTACCTTAGAAGTGCATAAATCTAAGGCTAATGATACAAAACCTCCAAATACAAACAATTGATCAGACAACAACAAGAAAGAAGGATGAAAAATATCTAACCTTAGGACAAATTTGTTTCAACAACAGCATGGACTTTGCACAGCAAAGAATTTCTTCACCAAATCCTTCTGGTAGTAGTTCAGCCAAGTAAGTGCGTATAACATTTTCAGTATCCACTGGTATGTTTAATACTTGTGTATAAGCGGAAAAACGAAAGCTTTTACTCCATAATGTATCACCTATAAATGATGAATAAGTGGGGGAGTAAAAGTCTTTTTGCGTAAAAGAAAAACTGAGGGTAAAACTTGGGTACTGTGATAGTGTGCGATTCCATAACCGTTTTTTTATTAGATATATCACACACTGAGTGAAACAGTATTGTTTACTGGATGACAAAGTTTCGAACACAATTTATTACTGTTCATAATCATTTCATCAATTATGATCACACAACTTCGAAACTCGAGTTTTATAGTTTGCTTTATTCTTTCCTATTTCTCGTCGTAGGGGTAGTAGAATTTTCCAGACGACTGGATGGACAGGTTTTGAATCATTCCTATTACACGTATTGTCTTAAGTTGATTCGATAAATAAAGCTTCACCTACCAACCACTCCCTCCACCATCTTACATTAGATTTTACACCTGTCATTTTATCCCATCATCCTATTGTATGGTTGTGTGTAACTGCATGCAGTGACTGGTATAGACGAACTATTCTCCAGATTTCTTATCTTATTAGGGTCAACTAACCTAGATTTAGCTAAGATTTTGTGCTCCGCTAGTCTGATTGACTGACCCCGTTCTACTACTTCGACCTATGTATTTGACCTGACAATCATTCCAGCAGGGTATTAGAAAAACTAAATTGTTTTGTTTAATTAGCTCCACAGGATTACCCCTCTAACCGACAAATATTACTTCAAATTGAGTTTGTGGGCTTGAATGCCAGCCACTTTTAAGAATTCTCTGTAAAGTTCCCGAGGTTCTTTCTTTGTGTGGAGGGTAGTACTACTGATGATTTATATTCCCTATTGTTGGTGTTGTCATTATCTTGTGTATGGTTGACATGCATGTCGTCACTGCTATTATTAATTTTATTTTTACATTTTCCCATATACTTTCCGATTAATTTATCTGGGTAATTATTGATTAAGTTTCAAAGCTCCTCTTATATGCCTTACTTCCTGCCTTAGATTTTCCTTGATACTACTTAGTTTTTCTGCCCTATTACTTCAACATTTCGCCAATTCTATTTTCACTTACATAGAGTGGGATGATCGTAAGTCCAAATATATGTTTGAATGTGTGAGTTTCCAGTAAACACTAGTGTTTAACTTTCCATCTTCTTTCCTTTTTACGCTACAATCCAACATTGGAAGTTCCCCTTTCTAACTTTCTAATTCATAAGTGAATTGGATTGCCTCCAATTTGAAGTTGATGTGTTTGAAAAATCCATTTATGTCCTGTGTTCTAAGTGAGGCGAATGTGTCATCCACATACCCCCACCATACTTTTCGGGTGGGGCTAAACGCTTCAATCGCTAACTTTTCCCATCTATCCAGGAATATATCTGCCACAAACGGGAATACTGTTGACCTCATGGTAACTCCCTCAGTTTGTTTGTATATTTCCCAATGGAATTCAAATACTGTGAAGTCAGGTATAGCTGCACTCCTAACATTACGCCCTCTAGTGGCACTTTTGTTCTAAGTTCAAGTTCTTGGTCAGAAATGAGTTCGTTTCTGACCGCCTTTATAGCCAAATTTATAGGTATGTGTGTATATAAACTGACAATGTCAAAACTAACTATTTTTCTTCCTCGCTATCTAATTTTTAATTACTTAATCTATGTTTTAGTTTACAGGAATTCGTTAGTCTAGATTTTGAGTGCCTTCTAAGCGGATTTAATACCATAGGGATTGATAAAAAAGAAAACTTTATTTATCGAATCAACCAGAAACACGTGTAACAGGAATGATTCAACAACTATACACCCAGACATCTGGAAAATTCTGCTACCCCATCGACGACAAACAGGAAAGAATCAAGAAAACTATAAAACTCAAGTTTCAAAGTTGTGTGATCGTTATTGATGAAATGATTATGAACAGCAATAAATTGTGTTCGAAACTTTGTCATCCAGTAAATAATACTGTTTCACTCAGTGTGTGATATATCTGTTAAACAAATTAATATGGAAAATAAGTATATAACCTATAACAAAGCAGCGATAACCTAGCGATCTGGTTCACCCTTCAAACCATCAACAACGACGGACTGTAAGGTCATTAGGATATGATTTTGAGATCCATTATTGATGTACCCATGAATTCAGCCAAGTAGATGCCCTTTCTCACGTAGCAGGCAATTAATCTCTGGCCAATGAAGATGCAATTATAGCAAGAATTCCAATGGCATATCCTGAAGTCCCCTCCCTGACCTCACCTATGAAAGTACTTTCAGCTTCCTGTACGTACGCGTTATTCAGAAATCCACAAGGAAAGACAGCGTTATACATTTCACCCTCAATCGATAGTCAACTGGTGACTCAAAACAGTTTTTAGCCGACAAACATCTCTACGTACTGCAAATGATCGCCAAATGTTCGAAGATGAAGACATCATTTCTTCATAACTTCGGAATTAGATCTTAAGTCAATTTCATTCGGGTCATCCAGGTATCGCAAGCACGAAATCAATCGCCCGGAGTTAGGATTATTGGCCGCAGATAGACTGACAATTCCTAGATTATATGAAATAAATATGCAGAATAATAAAAGGCAGTAGAATACGCTCCCAGACCAACATCAATTTCCTAACCGCAGTCTGAATACCCACAGTAATGACTTTACGTTAATTTTTATCGATCAATAGATGTATACGATGATTATCTAGTTTTGATCGAAGCTTAATCAGAAGTCGCCTTCGTCAATCCACAAACCACCAACCCTACTACTGCTGCTGCTGTTTCAGCCTACCCAAAAGGCTATATAATCTTCAACAACCGTCCCCAGAGTACGCATATGCATAATTGGGAGATTTTCACTTAATTCAATTTCAACTTTCCTGTTGACTGATCGGACCAAAGTGTTCGACTTCTGTCGAAATGTTGGCTACTTGTGTAGATGCTTCGACAATATCTGAGGATTTAACTTGAAGTAATTTGGTGGATTGTGACACGCAGTGGAATGTAAGATGTGCATCTCATCCTATTTGGGACTCGTCATCTGAATATACGTGAGTGATGGTACTGCCACTGAGGCAAGCGCCTAGTAGTCATTGTTTCAAAAGCCAACGCATTATCCACTAGACTACTTGGTTCACGAGAACCACCTCTTGTGCAACGGCTATTAGTTATTATTTAATTCAATTTGGACATTTAGGCGACGAGTCCTAAATAGGAAGAAATGCGCGTTGTCCTGGATTCCACTGCTAGTCACCATCCACCAAGTTACTGGAAGATTTTTGCTTTCAACATACCAAAGAGTACTTGTTATTACCAGTCGGAAAATCACATTAATTCTAATGGGCTGATGCCTAAGAGTACCTCTGTATGACCACAAAATTTCCGTGGCGCAGATGTATTAACTCCTCGTAACTTATAATATCAAATAAAACTATATTGTTCTTCCATATAAAATCTCCGTTTTACTGTCTCTGTTTTGCATTGCTTTTTACTTTCTTCTCTTGCTTTGTGTGTGGCGATTCGAACTGATGCACATCGGTGCAAAGTTCTAAGTTGAAACCAGTCAGTCAGTTTATTATTAATAAACAACACCTTCAACGACATCAAATTCACAAGAGAAGAAGAATATGAAAACAAAATCCCATTTTTAGACGTCTTAATCAAACGAACAACTACAGGAAAATTAGAAACCCAAGTATACAGAAAACCAACGCACACGGATCAAATACTCAATTACAACAGTAACAACCCAACACCACACAAAATTAGCTGCATACATACATTGTTCAAGAGAGCCAGGACTCATTGCAGCACTCCCGCCTTGAGGAAAATTGAAGAAAATCATCTTATGGACGTCTTCCAAAGAAATGGATACCCACGAAACTTCATCAAAAGACATCTACCCCCAGCTCAACCAACCAAATCAAAGGCCACCAGCGGAAACACAAAGAAAGTCGTCCTACCATATATAAAAGATATCTCCGAAATCACTGCAAGACTATTCAAACCTTTTGGAATCGATGTCGCTCATAAACCAACAAAGTCACTACACTCAGTTCTATGCAAACCAAAGGACTCGACGGCAAAAGAAGACAAAACTAACGTCATCTACAAGATAAGTTGCAACGACTGCGACAAACATTACATTGGTCAAAGTGGACGCCCTCTTCGTCTTCGCATTCACGAACACAAACTAGCTGTCAAAAGACACGACATACACTCCCTCATATCACTACATGCAGACAACCACGGGCACCAATTCGACTGGGACAATGTTCAAATCTTAGACAAAGGGAACTGCAAAAATGCCAGAGAATTCCTAGAGGCCTGGTATTCAAATGAATCAGCAACCAATAGACACATAGAGATTGACAAAATATACCAATCCATACGAAGAAATTCACACAAAAACAAAGTCAAACTTCAGGTCAAGGAAACAGTCAACACCAAAACAAGTGAACTAGAAAGTGAGAAGTCACACAAAAACAACCAATCACGTTCAAGGTTAGCAGAAGGAATGACTAACGACATTCAGACCAAAGAAGCAGCCAGCACCGAGACAAGCAAACTAGGGGGTGAAATGTCACACGAAAACAACCAATCACGTTCAGGGTTACTAGAAGAGATGACTAATAAACTCATAGAGAATTCTAAAAGCTCACTTCACATCGAAGTATGCGCTGAAGATGTTGCTCAGTAGAGCAATGAAAGCTTCGCAACCAAACCATCCAGCTCAGAGAACACAACCACACCAAAATCATCCACCTGAGCTACAAATCTTCTCTATTATATCTAAATACAAACTGTTTTATTTATTATTTTATTCCTTTGCGTCCCACGTGGAATATAGGGCGTCAAGCTTCAGCCTCTAAGTTTCAATAGCAGTGATGTTAGTTTCTTAAAGGGGTATTTGGGGTTGCAAACTTCACGCCCAAACCTTCTCCTCATGTTTTACCAGCTTCACTACCAGACTAAGCGAGGTTTAGGAGTGAGTCGGCTGAAGATCAAACCCCAGACCACGTGTGGCTTATGATGCAAAAGTAAGGCATAAATTTTTTGAGTAAAATAGATAAGTTGGAAAATAATCTGATGCTCACTAGCGACTGGCCCTATTCAGGCAGGCAGTTAACATGGGGTTCTAGTGGGAAGCCGCGACCAATAGGGTACGAAAGGTTGAAGGTGAGGCGGTAACTCATGGAAGAAGACATTGCGAAGTAGTCGCGCTATGTCATGAATTGGCAGAAGTTAGAATTCATGGACTGGCCATTGGATCGGGTCCCAGTGGCCTAATGGCCTGAGAGCTAGCTCACCTTGTAACCAGACGGCTCTGGGTTCGTACCCTGGCGGTGGGTGCGTGCTGATAAAAAGTCCCAAACTAGGATGAAACAGCTGTCCAGCACTCCCAAGTTTTCCAACGATTCTGTAACTGATGTCAGCTCATCATGAAATCCTCCAACCAATCAAACAAAATCCCTACAAAAACGAATACTTTAAAATAGATCAGTCAACTGTGATAAAATTATCAACACCTCTGTGTCAGTTGAGATGACTGTATATCTTCTATTTCAATAAGTTGTATTAGTTAGTCCAAACAGGATAAATGATAGAAGCAATCGAAGGAAGAAATACTCGACCAATGATATGAATCATCGAAGAAATGAATACTGCTTTAATATGGCACCCGTATAACCATGGGATTGACTGATGAAAACATAAAATGAGATGTCGCAGAATCGACTATGATAGTGTAGATGCCATTTCCGCCAGTTCTTTTTATTATTAATAATAATAAATGATGATTTCAGTTTCTAGAAATCATAACACTAGATGCCTTTCGTATACTGATAAAAAGACATTACTTAACCAATATGATTAGCCCGTATATGTGGTCAGTAAAGACAATTAAGAAAGTATTGTAACGGAATAATTAATTGGAAAATCCCTCCTAAACAATCTGTTGATAACACTGATCCTTATTTGGATATTTCACCTGATTGCGTGTTATTGCCAACCCCCCTCCCCCTTTATCCCCTGATCTGTGTATCATTATTCCAACGTGTACATATCTTCATTCGATTTAATCTTTATTATTGGTCTTTATTTGTGGCTGATTTCCATTCTTAATACTTCACTTTCCTATTGGATGATAGTGAGTTGTTGAGGATAACGCGGTGTTTAACTCTCGCGATTCTGTTTGAATGAATTCATATTTATGCCGATGGGACTACTTGAACTTAGATGGTTGACAGTTAATGTCTTTTGTGTGTTTGGTGTTTCTACCGACAGAGATAAAGGAGGACAGAGCGGGTGTACTGCTCAGCACTCTGCTCTGTCCTCCTTTATGACTGTGAGCGAGACCTGGCCATTGAAAGTGGAAGACATGAAAAGGCTAGCTCTCTTTCATCATAGGTGTCTGCGTTCTATCTCCCGTGTGAAGTGGTATAATAAGGTGAGCAATATTGAGGTTAGGCTTCGGTCGAGTGCTAGGTAAGGAGGGGAAATCAATCGACGAGGCTGTGAAGTGACATCGACTGAGATGGTTAGGACATGTGTTACATATGCCTAGTCATCGCCTTCCTCAACAACGGGCAATGTTAGCTGACATAGGGTCAGGTTGGAAAAGAGCTAGCGACGGTCAAACCAAAACATGGCATCAGTCAATGAAATCTATAACAGTTAGTCTAAGTCACGTGGGAATGTGTAGACTTCCTGTTTTGTTGGGGTCCTCGAGACGGTAAAAACCAGTGGTTGGAAACAATTGGTGATATGGCTCAAAATCGTTCTCAATGGCTGGCGCAGATGCATCCACTCCTTGTGACTTATGATTTCCAATTAAACTGTTTTGTTCTTCGTTATTACTATACCTTTGTCTCACACCTCTGTTTACTGTCTCTAATATGCATTTCTCCTACTTTCTTCTCTTGCTTTGTGTGCTACATGGAGTGTGGCCACTTGAACTGCCACACATATGTGCAAAGTTCTATGTCGAAAACAGACAGACAGACGGACAGAGATTTGATCCCATCGTGTTGGGAAAATATTTTATGTGATTCTCAGGTACTTCTTATGATGGTTCTTTTTCTTTGGTTAACGAATTTTGTTATACAGTTACTTATTTTGTCCTTATTTTAGAAATCCTTCAACTGTACAGCCGTCTACCGAGGCAGTTTTGCGTTTTTAATAATGTTATTATTATTATTATTATAGCTTGATTCCACACAGTATTTTGGTACAAGTATGGAGTTTTCAGCATGTGATAACGGTAGTCCAAATTTAGCAGACCGACCACTGATATCAGGTGTGTGTCAGCAGGGGATCGAACCCGGGACCATGTGCACAGTCGGCAAGCGTCCTAACCGCTGTGCCACCGATGCACAGATTTTAACGCATATATCAAACTGTCTTTTTGTTACTGTCGGCACATTTTCAAGACTGTGGACCGCTTGCTGAAAGTCAGCCAGTCAGCTATACATACAGAAGAGAGCATCGATTGACTTCCTGCGGCGTTCAGATCAAAACACAATCGGGTTTCGGATCATTACGAGTATTACTGATTGAAAATCAACAAAATTAAGCTAAATGAACAGAGAGAGATTTTTGCCAACCAACCTTGTTTTTCTAAATGTTGTTTTGAACCAACAATCAGATTGAATTCATTGCCAACATCATCATTATCATGAATACCATCTAAGGAAAACTTTTCCAGAAACCTAAAAGGTAAATTTTAGAAATTACAGTAAGAATTTTAATTTCAATGAAAATAATCTCATAACTTGAGAAATAGTTTCAGTTTGTATCATCAGCTGAAGTCACGAACAAGCAGGAGTTAGAACTGACGGCTGAATTTTCCACGGGATAGCCTCGTGCGTTCGATTCCCAGCGATGGAGTCACAGTTGCGTACTGCTGAAGATAGACAAACAACAGGATGAGAGGACAGTTCAAAAACTCCCTGATTTTCAAAGGTTTTTTTGACTGAAGCCAGTTTGTGGTGCCCTACAAACAAACCACTTGAAGATTAGTCCAGTGCTCATTGGTGGTAACTGCCTACAAGATGAAGTTGCCTGAATGCCTAGTGGGAAGTCGTGATCAGCACAGGACTCAACAAGTTGGGGAGTGAGGACAGATATTCACCGCCACATATCACGGAATCAAAAAAGTTATTATTCATGCGATGGCAATTGGATTCCATCCCAGTGACTGAATGGTCAGCGAGTTCGCCCATTAAACTGAAGTTCCTGGGGTTCGATCCCTGGCAAGGACTACTGAACTAGGGAGAAACAACTCTTCAGTATTCCCTATTGATTTTCAATGGTTCTCCGAATGATGTCAGCTTTTTACCTAACTTGAAACTTGCTTAACTGTAAATATGTCAATTGATTTCGTGCTTAATGATGAATTTTTGTGCTACATTACCTCACGTTTGAGAAATAAAAGATACAGATGACTATATCTAAGGGTGAAATGATTGTTCACAACTTGTACAGCCTCCCTACAGAACTGATTCAGTTGTTAAGTGAAATACAAGTCTTAGACATACATAATCACACGGAGGAAAACAGTACGGGGATTCGAAATCATATTGAATAGGCGAAAGTAAGAAAAATCGGGGTAAATCGCTAATTGACCTGAATTTCAACCTCTGTCTATTCGCGTTTTCTTCTCGAAAACGCTAGCCAGTGTCATTAGCGGCGAGTATTCGTCCTTACACCTGACCTGGTGGATCCCGGTGGTCATGACTTAACACTAGAACTCTAAGCAACCTCGTCCTGTTTTTTATTCCTTAACGTTCCCAGTGGAACATAGGGCTTCAAGCTAGAGACTTCAAGTTTCGGTATCAGTAGTGTTAAGTTTTACGGGATGCGGTTGCTAGCCTAATGCTCAACCTTCCCTCATTACCAGTATTATTACTGGCTTAGCGAGGTAAATGGGTGCGTCGGCCGGAAATCGGACCCCAGAGCGTATGCGTGATTGGGCGAGCATCCTACCGCTGTGCCACCGACGCCATATTAATGAGCATCAGATTACTTCTGAAGTGTGTTTTGTTAGTAGGGATTGGATTTATTTTAGGTTTGCCCACGGATTGATTTCAGATATTTGGTCTGTCTGTCTATTTTTGACATAGAACTTTGCACCGATGTGTGGCAGTTCGAGTCGCCACACCCCATGTAGCACACAAAGCAAGAGAAGAAAGTAGGAGAAATGCATATTAGAGACAGTAGACAAAAGCAATAGTAATAACGATGAACAATATAGTTTCATTGAAAATTATAAGTCACAAGGAGTGGGTACATTTGCGCTAGCCATTGAGAACGATTTTGAGCCGTATCGCCAATTGCTTCCAACCATTGGATTTTACCGTCCCGAGGACCCCAACCAGGAAGTCTACACCTTCCTACGTAGCTAAAACTAACTGTTGTAGATTTCATTGATTGGTGCCATGTTTTGGTTTGACCGCCAATGACTCATTTCCATCCTGACCCTATGTCAGTCAGCTGACATTGCCCGTTATCGAGGAAGGCGATGACTAGGCATACGTAACACATGTCCTAACCATCTCAGTCGATGTAGCCTCACAGCCTCGTCTATTGCTTTCCCCTCCTTACCTAGCACTCGACGCCTAACCTCAGTATTGCTCACCTTATTATACCACTTCACACGGGAGATAGAGCGCAGGCAACTATGATCAGATATTTGGTGGGGATTTCACTAATAGATTTTAAGCAATAGGTCTTCGGTAGAAAGAAAAGTAATAACTCGCCTGCTTCAGCTGTTTGGACAACCTAGATAACCTAGATATGGCTCCTAGACTAGTACACACACGCACACACACAAACACACAAGAATCACTTTGTAGGTATAAACCATCTATCTGACTGAAGTTACAGACAGAAAAAAAACTGTCGATGCGAAATCATTGAATATGAACTGTGATATTTATTTACCTGACGAATGGTTTAGCAGCCTCTTTGAAAAGAAATCTTGCTGTCCTTTCAGATGAATGACACATACACCGGTCAGCTTTTGACATTAAATATGCTAATAATCCTATTCCATTAAGTTTTAACAGAGGATACGATGCGGATGCTGATGATGATGACGATGCACTTGACTGTTCGGCGTTGAGCATGCATAATTCACCGACAAACCTATTGAAGAGAGAAAAACATTAAAAAATATGCATATGAATACCCAGTGTTGACTTTGTTAGGACACTTCATTTTTTTAATAATAATAATAATTTACTTTATTCCAAAAACAGTAGTTATAATACAGAATGGAATTCTCAGTATTTGTCACAATATTGCATCTGATTTACTCAAAATATAAATAAAATTAAAACAAAAGTAACCAGAGGAATTTTTCCGCATTTGTGTTATAAAGTCAAAAATATTCGAAGCACGAATTGAAAATATTAAATATAACAACAATAACAGTGAGTTTGTTTCAAACAGCATTGTTGATTCAGTTTGAAAATTTTAGCATGTTATAGATAATTGAATCTAATATTCTGTTGATATAGTATGGTGAGGGGAAATACAAAATTAACAGTTATAACACAGGTTAAATGATGTTCACACTTATGAAAAGAAAACAAATAAAAACAAGAAATTGAGAGGACTACAAATATAAGAAATACAATAACAATAAAGAATGACGCTTTAAGGGTAAAGGAAATAGTTTATTTAGTAGTGCAAAGAAGGTTAGTTAGTTCATGTCTGACACTATTTTCATCACATAAAGTACGTGCCGTCAAATATGGTATAGTGGAATTTTTATACTTAAACGTACGTGCATAAAGTCTTCTAAAAAGACTTCTTGTTTTACCTGAGGAGACACAAGGTTGGAACTGCGGGTAGAGTGGGTGCTCAGAGTCTGACAAAATTCCCTTAGCAACTTTGTTGCATGAAATCAATTGCCTATCAATGACGATGTCAACGATATGGCCCAATGGGATGCCACCACTCGTCCTACTGACAATCTTCAGAGTTCTAAGAAGTATGACATAGTCCTTTTTAAGCAATCCAGGAAAGAATAAGGGTGAAGAGTAAAGAAGAATAGGTAAAATACACGAGTTGATAAACTGTGAGAGGAGTGGTTGAGTTATGCCTGAATGCCGTAACTTTTTAATGTAAGAACTCAGACAAAATATTCTTTCAGAAATCGCTAAGACATGAGAGAACCAGGATAGGTCAGAAAAGAGAATTAAACCAAGATACTTAACTTCAGACTTGGTTTCTATACCAGTACCATCGATTTTGCAAGGGTCGAAATTCACAATCTGCAAATTAGTTAGCAATTTATACAGTTCCAGGTAGAAATTTCACTCTAGTGTCCTTTGGAAACCTGGATTATTCACAACACATATAGAGTAAGTGATCAGCCTGATACCATAAGTGGCCGGCTAGAAAACAAGCACAATTACATAGAGCCATATACTACCAATTCACTGAGATGACTAGCTGTATACCATTTACATTTTTACCGGTAGTGTTTGCTAACACAGTTAGATCGAATGTGACCTAAACAAGGCACAGCCGTTTCGCGCTTTCGGGGACTGAGCTCATCAGTGGAGTAACCGGTCTCAAACGATCAGTAGTCCAATGAAGGTTGGAGGATATTGGCGATATGGTTCAAAATCGTTCTGGATGGCGTAGATGATCTCCCATATCCATGTAAACCACCATGTTTTTCCATGTTACTATTCTTTCTTTCTTTCCCTCTCGCATTTCTGAGTATTATTGTCCTTTTGAATCTCTTTTTTTCTCTCTTTTGTCTTCCTTTGTGTGCTACATGGGGAGTCTGTCTGTCTGCCTGGATTCAACATAGAACGTGGCACCGAAGTGCAACAGTTCGAGTTGCCACGTTCCAAAGAGCACACAAAGGTAGACAAGAAATGAGTGAAGAGAATCAATAGAGTTTTGACAAGTATAAGAGTGAAACAGAATGAGTAATGGTAGAAAGGAATATGAGACTGAATATTACAGAGACTGAATACATCTGCGTAAGCCATTGACAACGATTTTGAGCCATGTCACCACCTATTGTCTCCAGCCACCATTGATTCTTAGAGTCCCGAGGGCGGGCTCCGACCCGGAAGTCTGCATCTCCCTCCCTACCTGGCTCAGTTTAACTGTCAAAGATTTCATGGATTGATGAGGCCATGTTTTTGTTTGGCCACCATTTACTCTTTTCCAACCTGCACCTAAATCAGCTAGTAATGCCCGTCGGGGGAGGCGATGGTTAGGCATGCGCAGCACGTGACCTAGCCATCTCAATCTATGTAACTTTATAGCCCCGTCAATTTATTTCTCCCTCTTTGCCCAACACTCTACGCCTAACGTCAACATTACTTACCTTATTATACCCCCTAACGTGAGAAAAAGATCGTAGACATCTACCAGGAGGGAGTGCTGTGTTGAAACTAGCCAGTCTGTCAGTCAATCAACATTATAGCGGCGCATTTTATCCCTTTTAAACTAAACATGAGCATCATGTAAAAGTGCTGAGGCTGCCAAAAAAAGTTCGGCAGCTACGTGTTATCAACGTAATCAGGAATTTTCTATTAGTATACTATATGAATGTATTCTGTACTACTAAAATTTACTCAAGCTCCAAAACTGCCTGATTGACTGGTTTCAACGTGGAACTTTGCACAGATGTGTAGCAGTTCGAGTTGCCACACTCCCTCTTTGTAGCAAACAAAGCAAGAGAAAAGAGTAGAGGGAGATTCAAAAGAGAGAAAGAGGGAAGTAATAAACAGAAGTCTGAGGCAAAAAGAATAGTAATATTGAAGAATATAATTTTATCGGGTATTATAAATCACAAAGAGTGAAGAACAATTTAGAGGCATATCACCTAATGTCTCCAGCATTCATTGGTTAGGCTAGGCGTACACGCGTAAAACATGTCCTAACAATCTCAGTCGATGTAACTTCACAGCCTCGTCTATTGATTTCCCCCCTTTACCTAGCACTCGACCGATGCCTAACCTCAATATTGCTCACCTTATTATACCACTTCACACGGGAGACAGATGTCAGACACCTATGATGAAAGAGAGCTAGCCTTTCTATATATTCCACTTTCAATGGCCATTCCTCACAGCCATAAAGGAGGACAAAGCGAACTCCTGAGCAGCACACACGCCCTTCGGTCGACAGCCGTATATCCCAAAACACTAAATCTAAGTTACTTAACACAACGAACAACCACTATTTCAAAATGCATATTAAATGTTATTTGATACTTTTACAAGGAACTTACTTTATCTGCTTAGAAAGACAGGATAAGCGGTCGGTAATCCAAAGGAGTCCATAGTCATTACTGTCTGACAATTTCGATAGAATTGAATACAATGACTTCTCGTATACACCTAACCATGTTCTCAATCCTTGAATAAAGCATGCCCAAATCTTACCCAACCAAATAGTATTATCGTGAACAGATGTCGGAAAGAGTGAAACAACATGATAAGCAAAGCAACATAGTTTTTTGTAAACAGTTCCAGCTTTAAGATGACTGTCGACAAAGTGTGATAGACATTGAGATGAAACGCCTATATTAAGTGAATCTTGATTATTTGGTATCCATGCAAAGTGACCAGTTAACGGATGAGAATAGTACGGCATCTGATCACTATTCTGATCAGTAGTAGTAGTTGGTATGAAATCAGAAAAGTAATGAAATCTTTCCGATTGAGTACCCATTCTCAAAAATAAAAGATGATGAAGAAAGTCATTGTTGTATGCTGAAACTGATTTCAGTGTACTACTATTATTACTAGTAGTAGTATTATTATTATTGACGTTTTCTGTAATACTTCCAATATTGCCAGCGAGAAAATCAGATCTGAACTTGCTAAATACCAATACAGCTTCAGCAGAAATCGGACCAACTTCACTCAAATACGGCAATTCTTTGTCTAAACATCCACTAAGAATAGAGAATAACACGTACGTTATTATTATTACTATTATTTAAACGCAGAATACTTGATACAATATGGCACCAAGAAAATGCGCCACACAATAAATAATAAAACAACACACATTAAAAGTAAAAATATAGGTGGAGAACGGACTAAGTACTGCATCTGGAAGGAAAGCAGTCATAGTTAACAAGTTTAAACAGCATTCGTTAACTATCATCAAGAAAGGAAGGAAGGAGGAAATTGCAGCACGTTCGCCATTGACTACGATTCTTGGCCATATCCAATAACGTTTCGAGCCATCGATTCGAGCTATCTCTCGGACTCCAACCAGGGAGAAGTGACGCACCAACTGATGCTAATCTAGCACAAATGTCCTTCATCCCACGACGCCACGTCGTGGACTGACCACCTCTCCGCCTTTTCCATCCCGTCCCAGGGCTAGTGAACAGAGACCTGTACGGAAGCCCCTGCGGTGACATTCGCAGCACATGTCGAAGCCACCGAAGCCGGTGTTTTCAGATGTCAACACTCAATGAATGGTGATCTCCACTGTGTTCAAACACACGCCGCCGAACCTCAGAATTAGTCACGCAATGAAGCCATCGAACGCAAGCAATCCTGTGGAAACAGTGATGATCGAATACGCAGAGCCGCCACACATCCTCAGCTCGGAGAGGCCAGGTTTCACAGGCGTAGAGCAAGACAGCACGCACTGAAGCATTGTACAACCGACCTTTGACAGCCAGGCTAATATTTCGACGGTGCCAGAGGTGGCCCAAGTTGATGTATGCCGCCCTAGCCTTCATGAAACGGTTGGAAATCTCATCTTTCACCCCTCCGCCAACACTCCCACAACTACCCACATACACAAACTTATCAACAACTTAAAGCGGTCCACCTGCAAGAGTGAGTACAGGTACAGGCTCCTGCTAATTTTGCAAAAGTACTTTGCACTTAGACGGCTCAAAGCACACACCATACTTACAGACACTGATCGCCAACTGATTAAGTGCGATTTGGACAGCTTGCATGCTATCGCACAGTAAGATGATATCCTCTGCATATTCGAGGCCGAAAAGTCTATCTCTTGGGTACAGATCTAGATCACCTTCACGCAAATCCTTCAGAGTCGACTCCAGAATGTCATTGATGGCAAAGATAAATAGAAGTGGATGGAAACATCATGGAAGTACAAGTAATCTCTTTTAAAACAAAAGAGAAAAGTGTAGAGGTTCATTAGCTATTTAGCAACGAAAGCAATAACCTCGCCTAGATTACTAGGTCACTAGTATTCTAGCCGATCCCAAGTCCGGATAAAGAGGGAGGGTTGGGGCGTGGTGCTAGCAACTCCACCCCCAAAACTTAACCAAATTGCTACTAAAACTTCGACGCACAAATATATTCAAAACTCTAAAATTACAAATAGTGACCTTATTTTTCGCTGGAATCGGGGAAGTGAAATGACGCGGGCTGGTGAAAGCCTTCGGGAAGCCAGTCAGCCGATGTGCCTTCTTTCGATGAGAGCAAAAATAAGGATGGGGACGTGGAATGTTCGTACAATGTACGAAGCTGGGAAGGCTGCTCAGGTAGCCGCAGAAATGAGGAGATATAAAATAGAAGTGTTGGGAATCTGCGAGAGCAGATGGAACGGATGTGGAAGGAGCCAACTATCAACTGGAGAGACAATAATCTCCCCCGGTCACCCAGAGGACGATCATGAGCACACCGAGGGAGTAGCCATCATGATGTCATCAACAGCAGCTAAAGCTCTCATTCAGGGGGAACCAATCTCCTCCAGGATAATGACAGCCAGGTTCAACTCAAAAGGAAAAAAGGTTACAATCATTCAGTGCTACGCGCCTACAGACGCCTCAGAACATGAGAAGAAGGAGGATTTCTACAGTCAACTACAAACAGCAATGGACAACGTCCCAAAGAGCGATATCAAAATCCTGATGGGTGATATGAATGCGAAACTGGGAGGAGACAATACAGGAAGAGAACTCACCATGGGTCGTGAGGCCCTCGGTGAAATGAACGAAAATGGCGAACTCTTCTCAGACTTCTGCGCCTTCAATGATTTGGTGATTGGTGGCAGTGTGTTCAAACACAAGGATATACACAAGGCAACATGGATTTCACCAGATGGACACACCAAAAACCAGATAGACTTCATTTCAATCTCAAGGAAGTGGAGACGGAGCCTACTGGACACAAGGACACACAAGTAGAGGAGCAGATGTGGGTTCAGACCACTATCTAGTACAAGGGACTTTCAAGGTGAAGCTGAAAGCCTCAAGGATACCTGGGGATAGGCCACAATGCAAGTTCAACACCCAAAAACTGAAAGACACAACCACAAAGGACACTTTCACTGCAACTGTCAGAGCAAAGCAGGAAACACTACGTGGCACCACCGAGGAATCACCCGTGGAAGACCATTGGAACTCTCTGAAGGTAATTTTCAACGAAACGTGCTCAACGGTTTTAGGAAGAAAGAAGAAACAAGACAAGGAATGGCTCTCAACAGACACTTGGAAACTAATAGAGGAGAGGAGAAAGGTGAAAGAAAAAATGATTCAATGCAAAGATGGACAAGAGTTTGAGACGCTGAACTCAACTTACACAGCACTGGACAAAGAAGTGAAGAAGAGTGCCAGGAAGGACAAAAGACAATTCTACGACAACCTGGCTACTGAAGCTGAGAAGGCAGCAGGCAAAAGGGACCTGAGGACACTATATCAGATAACCAAGTCTCTATCCGGGAAGAGATCAACACAAGTGAAACCTATAAAAGACAGCCAAGGGAACCCAATTACCAAAGAAGAAAGACAGATTAAACAATGGGCGGACCACTTCAAAGGACTCTTGAATCGACCACCACCTACAACCCATCCAGTAATACCAACAACAGCACGTTCGTAACTGCAAGTTGACACCAATCCTCCAACGAAAACTGAAGCCATGAATGCAATCAAGCTTCTGAAAGCTGGAAAAGCAGCTGGACCAGATGGAATACCGCCTGAAGCATTGAAAGCGGACCCAGAAACGACGGCAGATATGCTGACTCCATTATTGCAAAAGATCTGGAAAGAGGGAAAGGTGCCTACTGACTGGAGGAAAGGTTACCTGGTGAAACTACCAAAGAAGGGCGACCTGGGACTCTGCAAGAACTGGCGAGGAATCATGCTCCTGTCGACGCCAAGTAAAATCCTGAGTCGCATCATCCTGGAGAGAATCAAGGACGCCCTGGATACAGAACTCCGACCAGAACAAGCTGGATTCAGGAAAGGCAAATCATGTTCTGACCAAATTGCAACTCTACGCATTATCATCGAACAAAGCATGGAATGGCAATCAAATCTCTACCTCAACTTCATAGACTTTGAGAAGGCCTTCGACAGCGTTGACCGCGAAGTAATCTGGAAACTACTCGAGTACTACGGCGTACCACAAATATTCATCAACCTTATTCAACAGCTGTACGACAACGGCACATGTCAAGTGATCCACAACGGAAAACTCAGCGAGGCGTTTCGAGGAAACACAGGAGTCAGACAAGGGTGCTTATTATCACCAATGGTATTCCTAATTGTGGTGGACTGGATTATGCGTCAGACAGTGGGAAACGAGAAGACAGGGATATCCTGGACCGAAGTGAAGAACCTAGAAGACCTGGATTTCGCGCGTGGATGATTTATGTTTGATGTCACACAAAATCGAAGACTTACAAGCCAAAACCGACAAACTGGTCGAAGAAGCAGGCGGTGAAGACAGGACTCCAGGTGAACATGGACAAGACGGAGGTCATGAAAATAACCAACCAACAACAGCAGCAACATCCAGTGCCAATCACCATCAACGGAGGGGATTTCAAAGAGGTTACTTCTTTCACTTATCTAGGGAGCATTGTCTCAACCACAGGAGGAACGGACGAGGATGTCAAATCGAGAATCGGGAAGGCGAGAAACACATCCATCAACCTGAAACCAATCTGGAAATCTTCCTCACTCAACTCAGAATCAACAACAAAATTCGGATTTTCAATACAAACGTGAAGTCAATTTTGCTTTACGGATCAGAAACTTGGCGGGTCACCAAGAATATTTTCAACAGGTTGCAGACCTTTATCAACAACTGTCTTCGCTCCATACTGAAGATTAGATGGCCGGAAAGAATCACAAACAAGAAGCTATGGGAACAAACGAAACAGGAACCAATCGCCCAACAAATATGCAGGAGGAAGTGGAGATGGATTGGACACTCGCTGATGAGGCCGCTGGGTGACATCGCGCGTCAGGCCAGTGCTCGAGTGGAACCCGAAAGGGAAGCGGCGAGTGGGACGTCCAAGGGTGACATGGAGGAGATCGTGTGAGGATGAGATGAAACAGTATGGAATAACATGGAAGCAAGTGAAAAGTACAGCACAAGACAGAAGCAAGTGGAGACGTGCAGTTGAAGCCCTATGTTCCACTAGGAACCCAAGGGAACAATAATAATAACGAAAGCAATGGACGATTGGTCGCTAAGTACTATGCATTATTTATGCATTTCCGATAATGATACTATTTTATTTCCAAGTGCGCTGACTTGCACGGATTTGATTGATTTCAAGATCGGTAACAAACTGACTTCCGTTAGAGAATCCACCCAAAACCACGGAGTACTAGATAGCTGTTTCGACCTCATTTGGGACTCTTTAAATCCCTACAAGTCAACACTTGGAAATCAGTCCAGCGTTGACTACACAATGAAATGGCCTGAAGTTCTTGTGGCAGGTAGTGACCAGAGGAGTCCAACAAGTCGGGTGTGAGAAAAGAAATACTCGCCGATGACATTAGTTGAAGTCAGAAATTGTGGACCGGGCCATCAGATTCCATCTAAATAACTAAATGATCCACAGGCTGGTACTGTAACCTGAAGACCCTGGGTTCGATCCCGACGATACTCGCCTAGAATTCTAAAAACTCACTTCAAATTCAAGTATGCGCTGAATGTGTTGTATCTAGTAAGACAATGATAGCTTTGCAACTAAACCATCCAGCTCAGAGAATACACCTACACAGAAATTATCCACCTGAGCTACAAATCTTCTGTATCATATCAAAAAATGGAAAAACAGTTCTCCAGTACACCCTGGGGTTCTCAATGGTCTTCTAACTGAAGTCAGTTCGAGTGTATTGAATGGTGAAAGCAGCTAAGCGTGTGTTGTTTTCAAAAAAATTAGCATATATATATTACTCAAAATGAGGATAGTATATTAGCCACTTTTTGAAGTGGTAAAACTGAAGACAGATTTCAACGACAATCCACTATCTTCGTATATCCTTCTTCTTTTTTGTTTATTTACTTTATTAGTTGTAGAAATGTGAAGTAATCCAATGGTCTCAGGTCCTACAGTGTTCTAATCATTTAAATGTAACCTCACCAGTTATTTCACTTATCAAAGTCAAGGAATCTGGATAAAATTACCAAACCGCCAGTTGTTCACACAACTTCTCGGCGTAGTTCATGCATAACTGTGTCTTCATGAGTTAAGAAGAAAAAATAATAATATTCTGACTGAATAACTGTTTTTTTATGGAATGTAAAGTGGATAAATTCAGACATGTAGTAGTAGTAGTAATCTGTTTCTTTGACGTCCTCAATTACCTCGATGCAAAAACAAAAAAAGACAATTGCAGCGAAGAAAATTTTCTTTTCGACGAAGTCATCATCTAGGCTGTACATTCGTGTATTTATATCAAATGGATAGGAAAGTTCCAGAATAATTTCTGGTTAGGGGTCAAATTAATAAAAAATTACAATTAGGAATTAAAATGAAATAACAAGCAGGCGGGATGGGTAAAACTCAAACAAAGTAGCATTATAATAACTAAGAAGATTGACATTGTGCAATTGGGGGTTAGAAATGTAGAAATAACAAAATATACAGGATGTTTGGATAAAAAACTAATATGATGAATAATTGTTTATGCAATCAGGGATTAAATATGTAGAAATAGTAAAATGACAAAATAAACAGGAAGTGTGGATATGAAAATATGGTAGTGTAAACAGGGTTTAAGAAAACTTAAAATAACATGAATAAACAGGAAGTTTAGATAAGAAAGGCGATGAGATTGTCATTACTAAAAAAATTTTACCTGTTTATGATGGCCATGGTAGGGAGAGGGGTTGGACGTAATTCTTTTGGATACAAAGTGTGGGTTTGAGCTTTTGGATAGCTAGCGCTTCAGCTATGCCCAGATGTCTTGATTTGATTCCCTTTGATAGGTTTGATTGAATTTTGTATATTACTTTGAAGGATTTTTCGAAAGGCGCTGGATGTCCTGAGTTGACCAGATGTTCTGTCACTGAACTGTATACACGTTTTCGGTCTCCTTTTACTAGCCAGGCTGGGTAGTGTTCGCGAGCGCGTTTTTCAAGTCGGCGCATGGTACGGCCGATGTACTCAGCTCCACAAGAGCAAGTAAACTGGTATATGCACGTTGAGGTGGCCCAATGCGACGGCTTGTCTTTCACGTTCTGGCTGAACAGTTTCTTGCAAGAAAACGTCAGTCGTAGGCTCGCGGCGAAGTATGTTTTCTTTAGAGATTTGCAGAGACGTTTGCGAAGGATTTCTGCTTCAATATCACCTTTGAATTCTAGATTAAGCAGAAGTGTTTTCTTTGGAACGGATTGGACTTGTTCTGAAGTTTTAGTCTTAGATTTGAGATTTCTGTCTATGAACCTGGGCGGGAAACCGTTTTCCATCAAGGTTTTTCGGAGGTTTCGCAGTTCTTCTTCAATCACTTCCTCGCTGCATATCTTCCGAATCCTCGAGGAAAGAGCGTATATCAGGTTCCTCTTTCTGCTTAGGGGCACGAAGCTTTGGAAGTTGATGAATTGTCCATTCCAAGTAGGCTTTTTGTATATGGATCTTTTCAGAGAGTTGTTGGCGTTTCTTGTCAGCTGGACGTCGAAGAAGTGGAACATTCCGTTGGATTCAATCTCAAGTGTGAAGTCGATGTTTGGGTGGGCGTTATTGAAGATTTGAAGTAGGTTTTTTAAATCACAATTCTCATCACAAATAATGAAAGTATCATCGATGTATCTCTTGTAGAGATGAAGGTCGTTGATAGTTGATGATAAGGGGTTGTTTTCTAAGCTAGCCAAAAAGCAGTCGGCTAGTAGGGGTCCTAAGGGAGAACCCATTGCTACCCCATCTACTTGCCTGTATATTTCCTTGTTGAAACTAAAGTATACGTTGAAGGTGCATCGTAGTAACAGTTCTTTCAGGTAATGGATCGGTATACCAACATCGATGCTATTGGATTGAATGTAGTCGCAAAGGAAACAAACGGTTTCTGTCAATGGAGCGTTGGTGAAGAGAGAGACAACATCCAGGGAGACCATTTTCTTTTCTGCCACATTCACATTCTTAATTGAATCAACAAAATCGAATGTGTCACGGAGGCTGTGTCTTGAAAGCTTCTCTTTCAAAACAAAAAAGAAACGGCTCATTGGTCTCAGTATACAGACCGTTGTAGAAATTACACTGCAAAGAATAGATACTACGCACAATCCTACCTAGCTCAGAGAGCCGAGAAGCGTTGAATGACATCTCGCATCAGACATAACCTAGACTGGAACCCGAGTGAGAAGTGACGAGTGGGTCGTCAATGCGAGGGTGACATGGAGGAGATCGTGTGAGTTGAGGGAAGCGATAAGAGACTATGGACAACCGTAGGGCAAGCTGAAGCGGTCAACAGATAATCGAACAAAGTGGAGATGGAGTGTTGTTGAAGCACTATGTTCCACTCGGAACCCAAGGGAAAAATAACATGTTCATGCATTTATTCGCCTTGATGAATTTGAATAAAGCAAGAAAAACAGTGGTTTGTGCAGAATAATATGCTACCGTCATTTATTCCGTTGGCTTCTCATCAGCTGCTTACAACCTAAATTTCATGATGTCAGTTGACAGAAAGTTCCACAATTAGTGAACAGTGTTCAGAAAATTGCGCTTATATAGTATTTACACAGGCAGTTCAAGTTTAAACAAAACAAATGTATGCATACAATGTTAAAGGAGTCACGTAATAAAGACGAGAGATGTTTAAGATACTGAGTGACTTATAAATTAGATGACAATGTACTGAGTTCAACTCGAATCATAGAAACAAGAGACAAGCAAAATTACACTACGTCAAAGGGGTGAGGTTAAAGCCAAAAACTACGTAATCAAATGTAGGAAAGACATCTAGTTACCAGGGCAACAATAATAATAAGTGTTACACAGATTATCGACAAGTCTGCTGTTGATTTGCTTCCATTTTATCACATGCACATGCTATAATTCATCAGAAATCATATTATATTACCTAGCAAATACAGAACTATATTAAGAAGTTCAAGTGCTGAATTAACTCCACAGAGAGAGAGAGAGATAAAGAGCACAAAGAAAAAAATGACAACTTACACGCCTCTGTTTTCCCAAGAGAAACGTTGAACATTATTTGAAGATATTAATGGTAAAATAGTTTTAAGATCTTTATTAGCCAGTAAAGTGTTGTCTCTTGAAATCTCTTTAGAGCAATGTTCAAATGATGGAAAGAATATTTCCTTGACTAATAATTGACCGATAGCCGGAGAAAATTGTGAAAAAAGTCGATATACAATATCTTTAATATTTTCACTATTTAATAGTGGTCGATTATCTGCTTTAGAAAATGTCTCACTATAGCCTTCATCTTCTTCGTCCAATATTCTAGACTAGATAGATAGATAGATAGATCGGTAAGGAAAATTAACAACTTACCAAAGGATGAGTGTAGTCTCCAAATTCGCTGAAAATTTTTAAAAAAAAAACGAAATCAACAGTAAGATTATAAGAGAATTCAGTGAGTTTTATTTATATAAATATGAAACTCAAGTTTTTTTGAAAATCAACTCTAACACAGACCAAATACTCAATTACAACAACAATAACAACAATCCAATAACACACATAAAGAGTTGTATACAAACACTATTCAAGGGTGCCACCCAGGAACCATTGCAGCACTCCCACCTTAAGGAAAACTGAAGAAAGATATCTCATGGAAGTCTTCCAGAAGAATGGATATCCACGGAATCCCAACAAAAGACATACACCCCTAAGCCAACTTACTAAATCGAACGCCCACTAAGAAAGCACAAAGAAAATTACCCTGCCATTTATAAATGGCCTTTCAGAAAACACTGCAAGACTCTTCGAACCTTTGGAGATTGACGTCGCACACAAACCAACAAAATCACTCCACTCAGTTCTATGTCAACCAAAAGACACAAAAAAGATAAAACCGACAAAATAAATTGTAACAACTGCGAGAAACACTACACTGGCCAAAGGGGCTTCAAGTTGACATGTCAGCTTCTTATGCAGATGCTTCGACGATGTCTGGGCATGTAATTAGAATCTAATTGGTGGATAGTGACTATGGGCACTGGGTTTGAGCCTCGGTGAGAACATCATTACTCACTGCCAAACGCAGGTACATCCCGATGACGACATCCGCATAGGACGAAATGAGCATCCTGAGTGTATTCCACTGCTAGTCACCATCCACTAATTAAATTGTAATTACATGCCCAGACATCGTCGAAGCATCTGCACAAGAAGCCGACATGTCAACCTGAAACCGAGCACTTCTGTCGATGGGAAAATCTAGAATTCAGTTAAATAACTATAAAATGGTCAATTTAAATTAGAATCTCAAAGTTAGAAAGAAACCTAAGTAGTATATCATGAGCAGTTGTGTTAAAATTTGAAACTAGCCGAACAGAAGTAATGCTACAAATGAACGCAAAGATTATCTATTAATCGATGTAAAGGTATATATTGCTAATCATCAGACAGGGACAGTTCATTTCTAATCCCATATACTTGGCTCCCATAATTCTCATAATACATGAAGAGTCCGAGCGATACAGCTGACTTAATTACAGTTGTCGCTTTAAATTGCACCTGGATTACTACCTGTAGGAAAATATGTAGAGATGACCACCAAAAATATCTTTTTGGAAACAATTGCCTAAAAGACTGAATAAACAATTTAACACAGCTATGTGATATGAGTCATCTTACCTGAGTAAAATAAACAATAACAATCGATTACCCTAGCTGAAGCACATGTTTAAACCCCAAAATTCACCAGTTGTCTCAAAAAGGTTAAAGGAAATAAAAGTTTTCAACAAGCTGCTTATTACACTAAGGGTTAAATGGGGCATAGTAACCCCCAAATATAATTTCCAAATCCAAATATTAGCAGATCATTCATAATAATTTTTTTTGATTTTTGATTAGAGCTTGAAACCACACGGTAGTTTTGGTACAAGTTTGGAATTTTCAGCATATGATCTGGGTAGCTGAAATTTTACAGGCTGACCACTGATATCAGGTGTGCGTCGGCAGGGGATCGAACCCCGGACCATGTGCATGGTCGGCGAGAGTCCTAACCACTGTGCTACCGACGCACTTGTTAGAAATAGAGATTTGCAACTCAGGTGTATGATTTTGAATTACTTGTGTTCTCTGAGTTAGTTGATTTAATTGCGAGGCTTTCGTCGTTATTCTAGACAACCACAACAACTAAAGTAGTAATAACCCACGAAAGAAACTATGTGCAAACACTGTTTAAAAGAGTTTAAACTCATTGTAGCACTACTCCGGTGTTGAAGAGAATGCAGGAATAAATACCTACTAACTGTCTTCAAAAAGAATGGATATCCTCATAATTTCATCAAAAAGTGTTTAAAGTCGAGTCACAACACCAACAAGAAACCATCATCAAAGACAACAAGACGATTCATCCTACCATATATAAAAAAATACCTCTGAAATAACGGTTACAATAACAAGACCGTTTGAAATCGATATATTACAGAAGTCAACCCAATCACTTCATTCGATATTGTGCAAACCGAAAGATACAACACAAAAAGAAGATAAAACATTTACAAAATAAATCATATGAACTGCAATAGATATTGCATCGGTCAAAGTGGGCGTTTCTTTCGAATCCTCATCCAAGAACATAGATTAGTTGTTAAAAGGCATGATATATATTCCTTTATATCAATGCATGTAGACACTCACAGACACCAATTTGATGATTGGGAGAATGTATAAATTTTAAATAAAAGAAACGCCAAAAATGTTAGGAGATTTATAGAAGCCTGGTACTCAAGTGAATCAGCGATTAACAAACTTATTAATCTAGACCAAATTTACCAGCTAATAAAAAGTAAATCACGACAAGAAAGTTGAAATTCCAAGTCAATAAAAATGAACGATAGAGACGTAAATCAACAACCAGTCACAACAATGGTTACCATGACATACAAGTATATCATTCATGGAGAGTGCAAACAAGTTCACTCCACATTAAAACCTTCGCTGAAGATGTTGTCTAGAAGGACAACGAAAGCTCTGCAACTAAATCAACTACCTCAGAGGACACAACTAATTCAAAAACACCTTTTAGTGTTGGTAATATGTATAACAAGGAGGTAGGATATGCCGAGGCTCTGAATTTTGGTTTACAGGGCAGGAAACACATCATTTAAGTCTCACGGGGCTTTAGAGGCTCCAAGAAATTAGACTTCGATTTATTTCATTTGTAACATCTTCCCGCTGACCTGTTGCTATGCGAGACTTACAATATCAATTATTTCCGGTTACGTTAGCTCTTCATCTAGCTGTGACAACTTGGATTGTCATACAGTAATGTCACGTCCTACGTAAATTTTGCTTTGGTTGTTTAACTAGATGTATTTTCAGATAAGGCCTAAAATATCGCCCAACACAATCAAATTACGAAGTATATATTGAATGGACAATTACAATGGACAATTAATTTGTGCTAAATGACTACAAAACCTAAGTGGAACCAAATCTTGAATGATAAGAGATGAATACAAAGCACACTATCCCAAACTAAGGCGATTTACTTACACTAAAAGTTTATAACATGCTTTAACTCCATTTCTACATGTATCAAGTAACTATCAGTACACAAATGCTAAATATGTTTCTCAATAACCACATATATAGACATATGCATTTCGAAAAAGACAAAAATTGCATGAGAGCCAGGGGTACTGACTAAGGCACGTCTCCAACTGCAAACATATTGTCGCAACAGACACCAGTTATTAAAGTTCTTGGACAACTTTTCAGGACGTCAATGTGTAGTTTTAAAATATTTACTGTAATAAACAACCCCATACAACAGATGCTATATGGAGATTCAATTTAGTAAATCTATGGTTGACTAAAAATTGTAAATAACTACAGTGAATACAATAAGTATGAAAACTGAACTAAAGTAGCTTACCGACAAGTTGTTGCAAAATTTCGAAATGCAATGGGGTTAGATTTCGTGAAATCAAAGTGCCTGGGGATTATACTAAACATACTGTTTGAAAATGAAGCTGTCCGGGTAAACTGTGATAAACTTCCTATTTGATCAGACTGGTTGAATAATGATGAACTTTTGCACAGCAAAGAGTAAGCCTAAAGTGGGAATCACGTTGAACCAATCACATTAAATTACGCTTGATGATGATGATGAATTTCGACATCTCACAGAGGAAAGCACACCGGTATAATCTGGATCACTGATACTGAAAGAAGTTAGAAAGAGAGTTATCATTTACCTAGCAAGACGACTATAAGCAACTGAAGATATGGCATTTGAACCAGTCTAAACATGTTTTTCGGTAATCATATAACTACCTCATACTGACCATACACCTCTAAATCACTAGAACCCCCATGTACTGGGGTAGCGATGAGAAACAGGAACATAAGCTTCCGTAAGAGTTCTAAATTCCGTTAGTGTTGATGATTGTCATACCTGCATCTCTTGAAACACTGTTGATTAATGCATCTAACCTCCTAGCTCTCTTATCTCTTCCCATCTTTTTAAGCTCAGAAACCACAATTTCATGAAGTTTTTCATAAAGATCGATTCCAGGATGAACAACTGCTCCATTAGAATATCTAAAATGTGTATGTTAAAAAAGCAAAAACAAACTTGTGAGGGCCTTTTAGAAAAACGAAAGCGAGATCATACGTTTGGATCTTTAATCGTTTCCTTATTTTATGGACATTTAAATTGTGGTAGTTAAATTTCAAAGTTGACTTGGAAATGAGTCGGTCAATGGATTCAAACAGTGACAAATCAGTATCTCCTGACATAAGGGTCAATTATATGGTATATGAAAGGGCGACCTTATGGCATATTCTAAAAACCGCAAGTTCAAGTAAGCTCCAATTGGACTAAAGCAAGATAGAAGAGTCCCTGAATAAATGACCTTGAGTTCGTATCATCCGCCCCTCCAATGTATCTTCAGATTTAGATTTATTGGTTGAAGATAGAAGGCTTGGAGTCTATGTTAACCCGTTTCTATTAAACCCCTGTGATTGTCAAAACCCTCGTTGAATGAATCAGTTGAGGCTGCAGACACCCCTTTTTCTGGGAGTCGGTTCCAGGAGTTTATCCAATATCCAATATCGTTTTTACGAGCTAGTATAAACCAATTTGATTTCTTTGTGCTTGCCTCTTGATTGCGAAGTATAGGTACCCGATATTCGGTAAATTTCCGCGTAGGTCGTCCCGCCACTCAACTGTCGTAGCTTTGGTTGACTCAAGAAAGACCATATAATACTACGAAGAACATTGAAGGCTGTTAGTAGGGTCAGTGCTATCCCTATGACTCAACTAACCGACACTGTTGTCAATAGGCATATGAATTCTTGTAAACACTTAGCTAAAGTTATCTTGTCTGATAGTGAACATCCTCTTTATTCACAATTGTTTCCTTGCATCTCTTCGGGTAAGACCAGAAGAAATTTCATAAACATTTATGCTCGTACTACAAAATATAAAAATTAGACCGTACCATATTTGGCACGAGTATTGTGTGAAGAGACGAATATCAGAAAAGAACTTTTACAACTTTTAAATCATGAACTAAACTATAAAATGTAATGGTGCATATTATTGCATGTGTGATTTGTTATATTATTTATTTATTATTCACTATGACCTAGAAATGGTGTGATTTTGTTGGGGTTTTTATTTTTTCCTATTAATTATCAATATTTTTAACATTTCATACATTTATATAATTATAAAAAGAGCTAAACCAACGCAATATGTAAAATGAAACGCTGAAAATTCCATACTGTAAATTGTTATTGTTGTGGATTAAAGTGATCATTATTATTAAAGGAGTAGTGCTGGGATTAATTATATGTGGTTTGCAGTATGAGGTGTGTTGAGACTGTTACTACTGTGAATGGAGTTGATCCTTTCACCAGTTAGTCCTCCGGTATCGTCTTCAAGAGAAAAGAGATAATAAAAATAATAATAGTCATAGATAGTCAAGTTATTCAGACTAACAGTCAGAAAAAGAAATACAGAAAACATAACGACACTCAGCTGATTAAATTTGAAGGATAATATATGTATACATATATATATTGGTAATAATAATAATAAGTATAGTTAAGGTTGTCAGGAAATTAAGACGGGAGAGAATTTAAAGAAGTAAAACGAAGAACTTAGTTGTCTACCCCTGAATGGTGAATGGGATTTTAAGGGGATAGGCCACTGGACGCAGTCCCTGTGTCGCTGCATGATTGTCCACCCTTCACTTAAAGGCGTCCACAGACGGTGCCATAGCTACATCTGCCGGTAAGGAATTCCAGGGATGCCAAACCCGCAGTGAAAAGAAGTGGGAGCGCACCCGGGTCCTTGCCCTCAGGTGAGCTGTCCTTCTGGAATTTCCACGAGGAAGCCTATACCTACTCAATGGCAGAACACCGTTGTTTGGGTGATTCCGGTCATTTGTTATTTTGACTCAGTGTGAGAATCAGTGCTCCACAGCAGTATGGTTTCTCCTTGGCTTTTGAACTCACCTGCTATATCCTCTAAGTTTGTAAATTAGCTATACCCAGAATCATACGTGTTGCCTTCCTTTGAACCTTTTCTAGGATATATGAGTCTCGCTTAAGACAAGGACTGACTGCCTTGATATAGTTTTCTAGTCTTAACTTCACCAGAGATGTATATGAGGAGTTGAACATATCTCTGGTGATTCTAGAAAAGGCACATAAAGATTTGAAACTACGTGCAGCCACCGCGCGACAGTGTGTTGCAGTTTTCGGGTAGTGACTTACTATGAAACCTAAATCCAAATGTGTCTGAACTGGTGGGAGTGTTATTCCCTCACTTCGTAGATGCTGATGCTTGCGTGTTCGGCGTGCATGGTTGTACATTTTACTACATTAATCAGGATCGTCCAATCTCTGGACCACTCCGACAATTTATTAAGGTCTTCTTGCAACGTGGGCGTTTCACTGTCGCCCTTCAGCTCTCCAGATTTTTAAGCTATCTCCATATAGGAAAACTGGGTAACCAGTGAGCACACATAACTCACTGATATGCAAAATAAATAGGAGAGGCCCGAGTGTCGTGCCTTCTGGCACTCCGCTACGCACTGTTGTCCAGGAGGAGACTTTCGAGTTGATCCTGACCCTCTACCTCCTAATTATAAGGAATCCCTTTATTGAGTTTAGTGAGCTGCCTTCGATACCAGGACTCCAAATTTATGCGTACTCTTTTGTGAGGATTTTTATCGAAGGCTTTGCTGAAGTCTATGGAGATGATGTCAGCGGCTCTTCTGCCGTCCCTTGATTCGACCTAGCTTTCTGTAACAGTGAGATTTGACAGGCATAACAGGCTTCCTTGGAAGCCATACCGTACCCTGGATAACAAATTAATGTTCCCCACATATGCCATAGTACTTTCCTTGGTGATTCCTTCCAGTGTCTTAATTGAGGTGCTGGTGAGACTAATAGGCCTTTAGTTTGAAGGGCTTTGTATTGATCCTCATTTGTAGATGGAGGTTACTGTGGCGTCTGTATACAGAGTGCACCAACTGCATTTTTCCATCAACTCTAGAAATATTTGTACTTTTGTTTAGATAATAGACTGATATGAAATCAAATAGTAGCATACATGGTACATATAATTGACGCTAACGTAATGAAAGTTTCATACTACTGTTATTCAATGACATGTCATTGTCCGATGTCATTTAACGAGTCAATGCCTTGATTCTATGCACTTAATCCAAGCCATAAGATAAGGAAATGGTACATAGATATTAGAAATGGACTAACATACACATGTGCAACAAACAGAAACCAACTTCTATCCGAAAATTCTATATAGTCCCGAAATTGAGGGTAGCAACCAATCCATAGTCAGCGCTGAAAATTCTTAAGTAACGAAGACTTCATGTTCAATCCTCAGTATACATTAAATATCCTTTGATGAACTAGTATTTGCTTCTTTCCTATTTTAATAGTGATTTTACTGTTTTTTAACTTCGGCGGGCTTCTAGGATGGTCATTTATTTCACACTTCAGGGGGTGCGGTACGTAGTTCAGATTTTCAGATTCAGACATTTTTAATTTCAGTTTTATTATAGCTCGATTCCACGCTGTATTTTGACACAAGTAGGAAACTTTCCGCATGTGATATCGGTAGTCCAAATTTAGCAGGCAGACCATAGATATCAGGTGTGCGTTGGTGGGGGATCGAACCTCGGACCATGTGCATGGTCGGTGAGAGTCCTAACCACTGTGCCAACGAAGGCTTGCAGCCTATGCCAATCCTTTTTAGAAACTTTATGCGCTTGTTGAAACCCTTATTGAATGAGTCAGTTGAGGTTGCAGGCACCACTTCTTCTGGGAGTAGGTTTCAAGAGTTTATGAGTCGGTGTGAGAACCAACACTCAACAGCAATATGATCTCTTCTTGGCTTTAGAAGTCTCCTGCTATGTCCCCTAAGGTGTTTCAACCTTCTGGAAGGAAAAGGGAGAATAGGTCATTTCTGTAGTCATTATTTGAAGTTTGAAATATTGTAATTAAATCTCCTCTCTGCCTACGGTATAACAGGGAGCAGAGATTTAAACTGTCTAGTCTTTTCTCATATGATAAATTATTTATGCCGAGAATCGTACGTGTTGCATTCCTTTTAACCCTTTCTGAAATAAGTGAGCCCCCTTTAAGACAAGAACTGATTGCCTGGATACATATTTCCAGTCTTTACCTCACCAGAGATGTATATAAGGAGGTGAACATATCTCTGGTGATTCTGGTGAAGGCTCTGCGAATTGCTCGTAAGGATTTGAAACTACGTGCAGCCCCCGCGCGACGGTCTGCTATAGTTCTTAAGTCGTGACTTAATATGAAACCTAAATCCAAATGAGTCTGACCTGATGAGGGGGTATTCCCTCTAGTTCATAGGGGCTGAAGCTTGAGTGCACAGTGCGCATGGTTGTACATTTTGCAGCACTGATGGGGAGCGTCAAGTCTCTGGACCACTCCGACAATTTAATTAGGTCTTCTTGCAACGTGGGCATTTCACTGTCACCCTTCATGTCCCTAGATTTTTAAGCCATCTCCATATAGGACCCCTGAGGAACCAGTGAGCACACATAACTCACTGATATACAAAATAAATAGGAGATGCTCGAGTATCGTGCTTTGTGGCACTCCGCTACACACTGCTGTCTAGGAGGAGACTTTCGAGTTGATCCTGCCCCTCTGCCTCCTAACTACAAGGAATTCGCTTATCCAGTCTAGTAAGCCGCCTTTGATACCAAGACTCCAAATTTATGCGTAGCTTTTTGTGAGGATTTTTATCGAGGGCTTTGCTGACGTCTACGAAGACGATTTAAACGGCTCTTCTTCTGTCCCTTGATTTAGCCCAGCTTTCTGTAGCAGTGAGATTTGACAGGTATAAAGGTTACCTTGGAAGCCATACTGTGCTCTGGATAACATAGTAATGTTCTCCATATGTGCCATAGTACTTTCCTTGTTGATTCTTTCCAGTGTCTTAATTGAGGTGCTGGTCAGACTAATAGGCCTGTAGTTTGAAGGGCTTTGTCATAATCCTCCTCTGTAGATGGCGTCTTTCCAGTCATGCGATAGCCCCCCATTTAGAAGAGACAGCTTGAAAGTCGTGGTCAGTGTGCCGGCTCTGTGGACAGACAGCTTCTTGAGAAGTCTTGGATGAAGGTTATCAGGATCCATTGATCTCCCTGCATCTAGTTTCATTAGGCACTCGATCACGATGCCTTGTTCAACATCAACGGAGTCTACCATGTGTTCCTCTGATGCAGCCAGAGCCGATCCTATGAGGAGTGACAACTCCAGTGTAAAGACTTTGGGGAAGTAGTCTGCCACTGCTTTGGCTTTTTCTTGATCTTCTACTGCGTCATTGTCAGCAGTCAGGTTTCAAACACGATTGGATGCCTTA